TCTTTTATGTCTAGCTGCATTGGGCACCTGTCGCACATAGTGCGTACGTCGCTAGTAAATAAATAAACATAGTTAAACATAATTGAGTACTACTTAAGGTAGTCTATACTTAAAAATTTCATCACATTTGGCCACTTAAGTACAAATACATGACCTGTTCATATGGACTAAACTTTTATGTTCTAGCTGAACTGGTTCTTTTCTTTTTAGGTCTACGTTGAAATAAGTCCAGTCCAAGTGAACAGGCCATCATCTTTTTAGTCATAGCCAATTATATTTACAAACCGAGCTCTTAATCATAGCCCCAAATATTTACAAACCAGCTTACCCCTATTTTTCGACAATGTAATCTAGAAGCCGCTTATCAAGTTCAAAGCGCTCACATAGAAGTTTCTGCAATTCAAGGAAATTGAATAGTTGGGATAGAAAAAATAGGAGCTCTCAAACCAATTCCTGTTTCCTTTTAGGTATTAACAGTTAAATTCAAGTGCCTGTGATACAAGCATAGAGCAGGTCACCTCATTTTTTTTTTTCTAATTTCCCCTTATTTTCACCGCAAAACACAATATAAATGTTATAAATCTTAAATAAAAAGATATATAAAACTCAAAACAATTTCATAATTTCCAAGGACCACTGTGATGCATATACAAAGAAATTATGAGTCTAACATCAATTAGAGTTGGAAACATTAAACCTAAAGCTAATGGGAATAGGAAACCACCATAGTACTTCTAAAACTAGAATTACCAGATTTCAAAAATTAAATAGTTAGAACTTCTAGAACATATTCACAAGTAGAATCCAGGGCAGACATCAAGGATATAAATGAGCAATAGTGTAGGAACCAATCAACATAATATCAATGATTATAGATTAGTATTAGAATTTTTGGTTTGTAGCTCTTAATCTTTTCACTCTAGATATTTTTGGTTCAGTTTGGGACATGAGGATATCCAACACCTATACTCAGCCCTAAACACTTATAACACTACTATCACGTTACTTCTACTAATAAGTAATAATACAATAAAACCTCTATACCAGAACACTCCATATAAGATTAACATGTACTTTGTTATACAAAAAAAATCCCAACTTAGTAGAGTTGTAAGGTGAAAAACATGTAAATTGTATGGAGCACTAGCTAATTCCTGGTAAATATACATCTCTAAGGAATTGGCTTTTAGGTGTTTTAATTGCTCCTGTCATTCCACAAAAGTAAATAACCCCAATCGGGTAACTGGAAAGTAAGCATCTATTGAGAATTTTAAAATTACAGAAAACAAGCATCAAATCCAAAGGTTTGAATAATACAAAGAAGGGAAGAGTACGGAAAATGTACTTGTGGTTGGGCCCGTTTTCAGATAGGGTCATGTGTTTCATTCCTTATCAAAGTAGTTCATGTGTTTGAATTCCGTTATCACAAGAGGATCACGCCGTTAAAAATTTCTGAAAAAGACCGTTAAAAGTAACTCCGATTTTCAAAAGTACCCGAAAAATTAAAAGAAAAATACTGAAAGGTGCGCATCGTCAAGATGACCTCCAAACCACCTCCACCTTTGGATTTTTCATATCTGTTTGAATTATTTTTTAAACATGATTTCGCTAATATCACTTTTCCGATGAACTTTCCGGTGACAAGGATGGCTGAAAACAAAAAAGAAAGATGGCCTAGCAGTCGTCTTATTGAGGCGCACCTTCCGGTATTTTTCTTTTAATTTGTCCGGCACTTTTGAAAATCGGAGTTACTTTTAACGCTCTTTTCAGACGTTTTTAACGGCGTGACCCTCTTGTGATAACGGAATTCAAACACATGAACCACTTAGATAAAAAATGAAACATATGACCCTATTTGAAAACGGGCTCAACCACAAGTACATTTTTCGTACTTTTCCCTTAAAAGAATGATTAAAATGCAGTGAAAAGTGGAAGAAATTCAAGACACAAGATAAACACAAAACCAGAGTTGATAGCAGTGAGACTCTCGTTTAATTTATAGGAACCCGTTCCAGAATTGCATATTCAAGTGGAAAAATCTGATGGACAAATTGAGAATAGGAGAGGACTTACCAGGTTCCGCAGAGGACCTATTTTCGTTTGAGGAGATAACAGGCCAGTTAACCGTCGAGCACGAGGTAGAGCAGAACAGAGGCCAATTATCTGTAGAGCAAGAGGTAGAGGAAGCTATAGAGTTGCGGAGGGTTTGGCTGGCGGACGACGGAGACGAAGCTCATGGCGAAGGGTTTGGCTGCAGGATGACGGAAACGAAGCTCATGGTGAAGAGTTTGGCGCTTCTGTAAAACTTACGATGGAGACAAAGCTATGGCGGCGAAGGGTTTGGCTGGGATGAAGGAAATGAAGCACTGGGGGGTGAATGGTTTTTAATTGATCGTACCTTCATCGTATAGTATAAGAGGCCAGCCTGGGATGATTTTTAATTTTTGGGACGGTTTTTCTAAGTCGGTTCTTTGCAAACCGACATTAAAAGTATCCATATAAAATAAAAAAAATAGGGCCCGCATTTTTTTTAAAGTGTACGACGTCAGTTCTTTTGAAAACAGATGAAAAATGGTTTCGAGGTCCCCTACTACGTCGGTTATTTAAGAACCGACGTTAAAGGTGTGACATTGTATATCATTCTTGTAGTAGTGAATATTTGGCAGAAATTCCAAGCGCAAATAAAAGCGGGGAAAGTAGTTAATATGGAGACCAAATTAAAAGGAAATGTTGGGAGAAAGCGAAATAATATTAACATCGAAATAATTAAAGACATACCACTTCGAAGAAGAAGCACCTTGAGGTCACTTGCCGTAGAATTGAATGCTGCCTAATCTACACTTCACAGACTTGTCAAGAAGAAGGCAATTAAGAGGCACGCAAACGCAGTCAAACCATTTTTAACAGAAAAAGGTATGCAACAAAGAACGGAGTTCTTTTTAAGTCATTAATTATTCATACAATTCCATCAAATCCTACATTTCACGATTTCAGTGAGTATATCCACATAGATGAGAAATGGTTCTACTTAACAGATGAAGTTGAACATTTCTATACGCAACCTAATGAACCTGACCATATAGGGCAGTCCAAAGTAAAAGGTTCATTTCTAAAGTAATGTTTTTAGCGGCTGTCGCAAGACCTAAAATAGGAAAAAATGGGGAGGTCTTGTGGGATGGAAAGATTGGGATTTTCCCATTCACTTATCAAGATACAACAAAAAGAAACCGTAGCAATAGATCAAGAGGGACTCTAGTTACAAAGCCTATTGGGAGCATCACAAGGGAGGTAATTAAACAGTTTATGATTGAGAAAATATTGCCTGCCATCAAACAGAAATGGCCAGAAGGGGCTGCCAAGCGCATAATAATCCAGCAAGATAACGCTAAGCCACATATAGAGTGTGATGACATAGACTTTGTGAAGGAAGCAACAGAAGGTGAATGGGACATTCAATTAACATGTCAACCTCCTAATAGTCCCGACCTAAATGTGCTAGATAGGATGGTTTAGGGCTATTGATTCACTAAAACATCAAAAAAGATCAAAATATATTGATGACTTAGTCAATCATGTACAACAATCAATTGATTTTCGTATTTATACCGATCTGTTTCGCATTTTTGGATCCTAGGCAAGGATAACAAGCTTGATGAAGCTATTGATCCACTGTTGAAATTTTGGTGTTTGATTTTCGTACGCCTATGGTGAGCGGTAGTTGAGGCCTCGCCATGGCTCCCCATAAACAAGCAATCACCATCGTTGAAGCACTTCATCGTTGGAGGAGAAACCCTTCATCGTTGAACCCTTTATCTTCATTGCAAGACCCTACACCTTCAATTTGTCCTTCATCTTCTTCACCGCAGAACCCTAGACTTTTGAGATTCATCGCAGAATTCACTGACTAAAGGAATCTCGTTGACCAAGGAGATGATTATTTCAGATCTGATTTCACAGAGATGGAGAAGTTATAGAGAGGTGTTGGTGGGGAGATAAAAGCGGTGGATATGGAAGGGAAAAGCTAGATAAAAAATGGAATACGAAGTAAGAGGGGAGAGAAGAGATTGTAGTTGAAGAGGGGAGAGGAGAGGATAGGTTGAAATTGATTACTCTTCCGTAAATGGGGTGGATGGGAGTAGAAAATGTGTAAGGTAAAAGTAAGGGTAGACCAGTCATTTTGTTCATACTTTCATACCATAAACGGAAAGTGGAAAATCATTTTGGCACGGTCAAAAAAGGAAATTTTGCAAAACAAATTGGGATGGAGGGACTAAAACAATTATCAAATACTCCCTCCATCTCTTAAAATACTTCCAACTTTCCCTTTTCGTTCTTTCCAAAAAGATCTTCACTTTCCTTTTTTGTCAAAGAATTTATAGTTTACAACAATTTTTACACATTTCTTTCTCATCATCATAACTCTCTACAATACAAAACTCATTTTCTTAATCCGTGTGACATTTGTACTACGGAAGTAAATTTATGGAAGTAAATTTAGGGACGAAAGGAGCATTAAAGAATTGTCACATCACATGGGAGACAATTAGAGTGAGGTGAAGATAATCTTTTTTGAGGGGGTGAGCAAATTTGGTCTCCTTAAATGGCGTGGCAATGAGCTCCCGTACCCGCACGGGTAGCTCAGTTGGTTCAGTGGTGGGAAATTTGGACCAAGTGACCAAGGTTCGAAACCCGCAGCGGCCGTGTGGAGGTCACAGAACCTGAAATAAGGCTGGGCCTCTGGTGCGCACGGGAAAAAGGCCTACCATCATTGGGCCGACTGAGTCACCGTGATTAACCTCCTCCCAAAAATTCTGTCGGGTCGGGGTATGGGGGGCTCCTGGGTGGGAGATTCCACCTTTTGGATCAAGCAATGAGCTCCCGTGATTTGATTGGCTTGTAGCCTTGTAAGGCGTGGACCGGCGTCGTATCAGGTTTGTGATAACCAATCTTATTATAAACAGATTTCTTAGGACTCATAATCAACTTTATTCTCTGAACAGGGATTGGTACCCTAGATCCGCTGCAATGTGTAATAAGTTCAGTATTGGAAACTTCTTCCTTTCAATCTTTCTCATCTATTCTCTTAATGCATATCCCGTAATCACGGCCTTCCATGATTCCATCACAAATCGCACGGATGAGGTTTCCTTACTGCTGGCGAAGCATGTCATCTCCGCCGCAATTGAACGCGGCGAAAGCGTTGCTTTGTCTCCCCTTTCCATTACCACCTTGTTGGGTATGATCGGCGGCGGCTCTCAAGGCGGAGCACCCGATCAATTACCGGGTTTCCTCAATCCTGTTTCCACCAACAACGTTATAAAGAAATCTCGTGCTTCCGATTTTGTCGCCAGTATCTTTGCTGACGGTGGCGGCGGCTCTTCCTTGTCTGGGGCGAACGGCGCGTGGATTGACAAATCTCTGACGCTTAAGCCAGCCTGTAAACATCATATAGAAAGCTCTTACAATGCTCTCATTCAATCTGTTGATTTTCGTGAAAAGGTTAGTTTTTTCGTTGTTCTTTTAAATATAGAAATTGCTCCAGATAGGAGCAAAAAGAAATTCAAAAATAGAAGTATCATGTTTTTTATTTCCTGAATTGGAGTAATCTGCCAAGTTTGGAAAAAAATGTCATGTTTTAAAGCCCAGTAATGCCAAACTTGTCAGAAATTTACTTCTATTCAACGAATAAAAAACTTTTTTACTCCTATCTAGGAATTCTCTATTTTAGATACGGAGTATATCAGTACGTACATATGCCATATTTCTCCAGTAGTCAAAGGTGATACTACGTATCTTTTTGTTAATTGTTATGGTCTTGCTCAATGAGTCAACGTGGAGCCGGACCGAGAATTATGAAATTTATATTGAGAGGCCCATGCTTAAAATTTTATGGAGTACTATAGTTTTTATTGTTTATAAATATTTATACATATCTATATACATATTTATACATATATATACATATTTATATATATATATACATATTTATATATATATATATACATATTTATATATATATATATATATATACACACACACACACACATATGCAGAGTAGCGATCTGTCAGGCCTGAGAAGATTCACGGTCTGGCCCCAAGGTCCTTCCCGCTGGAATTTTTTGATGATTTTTTTTTAGCATATTACTTGTCAATCCTAGTTTATACTTCCCTGTTCTTAAATAAATGCAACGGTCAACATTTCACACTTGCCAAGACACAATTTTGACCATTAATATAAATGATTTTGTATTAGTAAAATAATTAAAAAAATTAGATTATGAAAATTTGCAATGAGACAAGTTTAATAATATTTTTTTCATAAAATAGTATTATTACATTAATAAATAAAACGTAGTCAAAGTAGAACATGTGAATAGTGTAAAAGTCAAAGTGTTGCATTTATTTAAGAACGGAGGTAATATTAAATTTCAGCTAAAAATTCAATCGAGAAGGCAGTCAAATAAATTGTTGAAGAAAACTGCGTTGTTTATGTATATATAAAGCACAGTTTTTGTAAAGAATTTATTTGATTGTCTTCCCGATTGAATTTTTAGCTGAAATTTGGTATAAATAAACTAGACTTGACGAGGAATATGCTCATTAAATTTCCTCCAAAACTGCCACCGGGAAGGTCCCCACATGGCCTCAGCCTGACAACGGTTTCCGTCAGGCCGGCGTGATACGATCTGCCCTCTACATATGTATATACACAAAATTTTTCTTGGACGGCGGAGGCCCACGCCAGCCTCCCCGTCTCCACCCCTGGCCTTCCTCTCTTCATAAATAATTTGTTGCTCCCTTCATGAATAATTTGTTGCTGTTCTTAGTTGTCTGTATCTTAGATTTCTGAAATCTGTTTTCCATAATTCATCCTTGGAGTATAATTAGTAACATGTGAGGCATAAAGTAGAATAATTATTGGACCATCAATAATATTTAGTTTGCTGTTCTTTTAGTTATCCAAATAATTAAAAGAATATGACCATCAATGATCATTGGAGTATAAAGACGTGGGTACTTTAGTAACATTGATGGTCATATTCTTTTAATTATTAGAATTAGTAGAATAACTGAATAAGTAGTCTTTAAGTTATTTATTATTCCAAAGAAATTAACTTTACCAAGCGTTTTGTATTTTTGATAATGAGGAAATTTAGGGTTTTGAGTCCACCTAACTTTTACCAAATTCCAAACGGTTCTTCACGTGTAGCTTTTTCTTGGAGTTTTTTCCCATGGAGTGGAGTGTTTTTCAAACTTATTTCCCAAACTAAGGTACTTTTAAACTTATTTTCCAAGTAGGAGTATTTTTTGCCATGTCACCTCATTATCATTGCTGGACGCCACATCAGCTTATCCACATCATCTCATCAATCCCATGTCATCAATTTTGAGAGTTTAAGTGTTCTTCTAAAATATAGAAAAAAATGAAACTAACAAGATTCGAACCTGGGTGGAACACAAGAGAGACATGTATGTGAACCACTACACTACATCATTCACTTGTTAACAAATGTAGAAATTAGTTAAAATAGGACTAAAACTATGACAAAAACCTAAAATAGGACTTGCTATGTTTTTATTCCAAAATAGGACCATATGAGTCCTATTGGAAACATACCTATTTTTGCATTCCATTCTTACCCTTCCATTAAATATGAATTAAAAATAGTCAAAAGCCATAATTAAATGTTTAATTCATAATAAATTCGAAAAAAATTCAAAAATTCGTAGAAATATAATTAAAAAATTTATAAAATTTTTATAAAATAAAAAATTCAAAAACTTTTTTTTTAAAAATAATTTTATTTTTAAAAAAATTAATAAAAAATAGTAAAACTTCGTAAAAAAATTTAAAAAAATATGGATGCCTTTCCCACCGCCTGTATTACCTCCTAGCACCACCACCTCTGGCCGATGAAAAAATACCATTTTCCCAGAAAAATGCCATTTTTTTCTGAAAATGCCAAAAAAGTGGCATATTTCTCTTTTCGAATGCCAACATTTTCATTTTTTCTGCCATAAATATGGCATTCGTAATGAACTTGGCATTTTTTCCCCTGGTGACTGGAGGTGGTGGTGCTGAGGCGGCAGAGGCGGCGGTGATTTTTTTTTTTTGAGTTTTAATTTTTTTTTAATTTTTTTTAAATTTTTTAAATTTTTTGAAAAAAAAAATTGATTAAATTTTTAATATCGAAATGTTTTTCTTAATTTTTTAGTATTTTTTACGAATTTTTATTATTTTTTATTATTTTATTAGGAATTAAAACATTTTAATAGCTATAATGGTATAATTGTCCAAAGTACACATAATTAGTCCTATGCAAACATAGTTTATTTTTTGGTCCTATTTGTGAAAAGTGAATGACTTTTAGTCCTATTTTGATAATTAACTCTAACAAATGCCTTTTAAGAAGTATAAATCATGTATCCTTCACTCCGGGAGTGCACTATTTCTTAATCGCATGTATTATTCGTTCCTTTAGAAATATCTCTTTACCAAACAATAAAAAATGTAATAATAAAAAACTGAATTTGAGTTATTCAATTAAAAATCTTATTAAAACTTATAATAAAAACATAATTTGCTAATTTAATTTGAAAAATAAAGAAATATTTAACTTAGAATACAAAAAATTAATTTAAACTTATAATGACAAAACACAATTTGGAATATGTATTTTTTTTAAATAACTTAGCTTCAAATGAAATAAAATCAAATAAAATATAAGTCATATTTCTAAGTTACTTATTGCATGAAATTTACTTATTTTTTATTTTATTTACTTTTGAGTTATTTCAAATAACTTTTAAATTATAAACTTCAATTTTTTTTTATAAATTTAAAATACATTTTTATAGAATTAAATATCGCAAACTAAGCTTTTCATTGTGATTATTTCGTTATAACAGCTCAACTCTTCTCGACTCGGTTCAATTTTCTCATTGATTATTATTGTTTCAAATTCAAATTCAACGCTCAAATTTGAACTAAATTGTAACATGTTAACTTTTAGTGAAATTTGCAATACAAATACTTTAAGTCTAAGAATGTATACATTTAGCTGTGTATTACTCATTGCTTTAAAAATATATAGCTTCTTTTTAAAATAATTAAAAAAATTACGCAAAATACTAGGTTTGTGATAATTAAAAATAAAGACTTAATTAAAATTTATTGTTACTAAATGTTATGAAAGGCTCTAACCCACCCCAATTTAAAATCAGATACTATTCATGTCAAGAAAATCATATAATATTTATCTAAGAAAGAAAAAACTTGATAAATTTATCAACGGAAAATGCTTGGTTCCGAGCCCGAGTAGAGTTGAGGCTGAACAAAATTGAGCTGTTAGAGAATTTTCATAAAGAAAAATTTATACGATATTTTACATTAATATTAAACCTTTTATAGAATTTAAAGTGGACTAGCATGAAATTTACTTATATTTTATTTTATTTTATAAGTTTTTTATACGATATTTTATTTTTACTTATATTTTATTTTATTTTATAATTTTTTTATGCGATTAAGAAATAGTGCACTCCCGGGGTGAAGGATACATGATTTATACTTCTTAAAAGGCATGTGTTAACATGTGAATGGTGTAGTGTAGTGGTTCATATACATGCCTTTCTTGTGTTCCACCCAGGTTCAAATCATGTTGGCTTCAAAATTTTTTTATATTTTAGAAGCACGCTGAACTCTCAAAATTGATGACATGGAATTGATGGGATGATGTGGATAAGCTGATGTGGCGCCCAGCAGTGATACTGAGGTGACATGGCAAAAAATACCCCTATTTGGGAAATAAGTTTAAAAGTACCTTAGTTTGGGAAATAAGTTTGAAAAACACCCCTTCATGGGAAAAAACTCCTTTTTCTTGGGATACAGTATCCTTTATTATGTATTTGTTCTAGTATCCTACCCGTGGCACGCACGGATATAATGTATGAAAATTAATGGAAAAATTCAATTAAAATGATTTAAAATTTGATTTAGGTTATTTTATTACTGAAATATGAATTATTGATTCCAGAGATATAGAGTAATAAAACATATATAATCCAAAAAATGTGAACGGTGCATACATAACATCAGAAATATAGACACGTAATAATTAATAAGTATAATATCTTTCTTCTTATTTGAAAGTTTAACTTGTTTTTGGTAAATTGTTTCTTCACAATATAAAGTACATTACTGAAACGTAGATATTGTGGTTGATATTATTGAGAAAAATTGATCAAAAACACCTAAAATCGTGGAAAGAATATAATGAGAGATATCATCGATTTTTTCTTTTGTGTCTCTCTCTCTCACATGTCATATACAGAGCATATGCATTTATGCACATTGTAACATTGGAAATGTTTTTAGGAAAGGACAACATTAGTTGTATGGAAGAAGATACTTCATATTCTAATTGAAAATTACTCTGTATACCTTTTGTTTAGCTAAGAAACATTATTGAATCGTTCAATTTAAAACTAATTCCCAATTGGTACCAATCCTCCAATTTAAAGAATGAAAAATGGAGAGTGATCGATTAGAACTCATATGTAATGAGCATTATTATTTGGTCTAGATGAATCCATCTCAGGAGTAAACATCTCATGAGCTAACATTGCCTTAATAATACCTAGTATTTTAATTTCAATTGTCTTTTAAAATGAAAGAGCTGAAATGGAATTTAGTATAAGAAGTCATTTCTCTAGGGGACATGAATTATAGAAGATGACAATTGACTTGTGGAAATAATGCAGTCGATTATAATAAGTTTATAATGAAAGAACCGAATAATGGTAATACTAAAATAAACATGCACGGTAATAGCTTTGGTTAGATCCACATAAGCATATTAATATTACCATATAATATTACAATATATCTTTAATATTTTCAATAGTAGTAGGTTTAATATTAAACCATATTAATAGTTTGTATAATAAAAATATTAACACTAGCTATCTACCATTAATGTTACCAATAGTCTATAGGTTTAATACTATTATTTCCTTTTATATTCAAATTCTAAATCACTTGTTGATATTTGAATGCTGAATCACTTTGATATTAGAGTTGAAGATGTGATCATATAGAGCTCGTTTATGAAAATTATGAAGTTGTGGCTGAAGTGGTTGAATTGGTTGTTTATGCTGATTTATGAAAAATTATATTTATATTATATTATATTTTATTTTATTAGTAAAATAAAGAAAAAATTATATGTAGAAAATAGTTCTACACTAACTGCAACCAATACAGTCAGAAAAATAAATTTCAGAATACATTTTCTTATTATTACTCAATTTAGCACGTGAAATCAAAAGTTACACATTTGATGAAAAAGTTGGCTGATAAGACGAAATATAGTTACCAAACGGGCTCATGGTAATGTTTCCAAATATTATCATATAATCACGATCAAGTGGTGATTGGTATATTTAATCAATATATAGTACGTAGGTTTAAATATGTGATTTGTTATGGTAATATTAAATCATATTAACCAAGCATTCCAGCTCAGCTGGTTGTGAGGTTACCGTGCCTAGTGGGAGATCTCGTGTTCGAAACCCGCTAGACTGTAGGTTTAATATTAATATATATTAAACCATATGAATGCTCAAATGTTTTATCACTTGCTGATTTTCAGATATTGCTGAGTTGAGAATCGAAGATTATACCATAACGTAGATTGAGTAAATATTTTGGCCAAACATAAACTTTTATAGTTGGTCAAATGAATTGAATACTACTCGTATAAAACTAAATAAACAGAAATAGAGATGGAGACCATGTATCTAGAAATATGGGTGGGTCAATGAATCCAAAACTGAAAATCAAATTGATAAAACTGGAATCGCAAGCAAAATAAACCGAATCGCGGGAAAATTGAAATCGAACTAAAAAAATCAAACTGAATCGTTTGAATCTAATTCGTCCCTATTTAGAAGTCACATGTGACAGAAATAAAATGAAACGGCAAAACAATGATAATGAGAAGGATTTTCATAAATGGAAAGTGATCAAGTACTGTATACTTAATGAATTTGAGAATGCATTACCAAATTATGTATTTTAATTAAAGATTGTTCAAAATAAGAAAAAGCAAATTAACATGAAAATGACAAATGATTGTGAGCATGATACTTGTCAAAGTGGTTACTTGCAAATGTATAATATATAGATATCTAGGCTTTGCAAAATGCAATTACTGAGTAGTTTGTAAAAAGTAGATAGCAAGAAATTAAAGAATGGTTATACTAGCGTTGCAGGCAAGAGAAGTAAATGATGACGTGAATTCTTGGGTTGAAAAGAAAACTGGTGGTCTTATTAGACAACTACTTGATGGAAGTACAATTACCCCTCAAACGATTATGGTTCTTGCAAATGCACTTCATTTCAAAGGAGCTTGGGCGAATGAATTTGATGTTGCAAATACAATAGATCTCGATTTCTACCTCATGGATGGGGCATCTGTCCAAGTCCCCTTTATGAGCAGTAGTGAAAAACAGTACTTGAAAGCGTTTGACGGTTTCAAAGTCCTAAGAATGCCGTATCGACTAGATGAGAATCAAGAAAGATGGCGATTCTCTATGTACTTCATCCTCCCGGATGCGGAGGATGGACTACCATCTTTGGTTGATAAGCTTACTTCAGAATCTACATTCTTAGAGCAGCACATACCCTACAATAGAGTTAAGGTTGGAGAGTTTGGTATACCAAAGTTCAAAATATCCTTCGATTTGGACGTTTTAGATGTTTTGGAAAAGCTCGGAGTCACAAATGCCGGCCATGCTCTAAGTGGAATGATTGAAAATCCTCTGAGTACTCCGATTGATTCGAAAATTTTTCACAAGAGCGTTGTCGAGGTCAATGAAGAAGGTACAGAAGCTGCAGCTGTTACAATGGGGGTTCTTTCTGGTTCTTCACGTGTAGTGCCTGTGGAAGAAAAAATGGATTTTGTTGCAGATCACCCCTTTCTCTTCTTCATTCAGGAAGATTTAAGCAGGACCATTGTTTTTGCTGGCTCTGTGCTCAATCCCGGTCTCTGAGTACTTGTTTCTCCTAGATATTTTAACACTTGTTTATTTTATAAAATCGTCCTGAAACCTATCATTATTTATGTAAAGCTATTATGGAGTACTTGAAGTATTTTAGATGTCAAACTAGTACAGTACTCGGGCATACGCACGGAAAAAAAACAGTCGGTGCATATAATTTTACTCATGGTCTAATTAAATACTAACATAAAAACAACTTTTTAGGATTCTACATTTTTGAAATATAAGAGTTCAATAAGCTAATACCATAAAGTATAAGTCCATACAATATATATTCAATGAAGAGTGTATTAGGAAAAATTAATTAACACAACTCATTAGATTTTGCTACTTATTAATATTTATGATTAGATTAAATTTTAAAAATTGAATACTATTATAAAAAAGTGAGTACAATGAGTGAGTGACATAAAATTTAAGTGAATACAATAAATATTAAAATTAACGGATATTAGTTAATTAAATAAGAACTTGCTACTCATTATTAAATTACTGTTAACATATGAGAAAGAAAATTATCATGCTCAATTCTTAGTTGACTTATTTTGTTATACCTAAAAGAAATAGATATGAGAAAACACTCTCCCACTCAATTATTAGGTGCATTATCTTATACTTTTTTTAAAATAAATATAGGGGAGGATTTTAGTGAGAACCTCTATTTTTTTCTTCCTTTTTTATTAGAAATTTATGTGAGCAAATTACAAAAGTTAATGAAGGTAGAAAGCTAAGGAAATAAAAGCTCATGAAACAAAAGCGCTAATAAAAAATAAAGGAAAAAAATAAAAAAAAAATCCCGCTCAATTGTTAGGAAGATTGTCTTCTAAAAATTAAAAGCACTACATATGAGAGAAAAACTTCTTTCGCTTAATTATTAGCAAGTTTATCTTGTTATATCTAAAACGACTACATATGAGAGATAAAATTCTCTCGTTCAATTGTTATCTGACTTATGTTATATCTAAAAGTACTACAGATGGAAGAGAGAATTTTCACTCTCAATGATTAGCCGACTTATCTTATATACTTAAAAGAACTACATATGAGAGAGAAAGTTCTCACTCAATTGTTAGCAAGTTTATCTTCATAGCTTCTTATGGCTAAAATCACTACATATGAGAGAGAGATTTATCACGCTCAATTGTTTAGTCTTTTAATCTTATATTTAAAAGAACTACATATGAGGGAGAAATTTATTCCGCTCAATTTTTAGCAAGTTTATCTTCTAATACCTTAAACGGCTAAAAGCAACTACATATGAGCGATAAAATTCTCCGGCTCAATTCCTTCGTTCAATTGTTAGCAATCTTATTTTCTAGGGAAAATTCCCGAAATAGGAGTAAAAAAGTTTGAAATTTTCAAAATAGGATTGTCATGCTTTTATTCCCAAAATATGAATAATTACTGCTAAGTTTGGAAAATACTGCCATGTTTAAAGTTTGGTACTGCCAAAATATTGCAGTAATTAGTCCTATTTTGGGAATAAACACATGATAGTCCTATTTTCGAATATACAAACGTTTTTAGTCCTATTTTGGGTAATTTCTGTATTTGCTAATACCTGAAAGCACTACATATGAAAGAGAACTATATATGAGAGCTAAAGTTCTTTCGCTCAATTGTTCGCAAGTGTATTTTCTAATAACTAAAAGTAGTACATATGAGATAGAAAATTATCCCGCTCATTTGGTAGCCAGCTTGTCTTATATCCAAAAGAACTAATTATGAGAGAGAAGTTGTCCCGCGTAATTGTTAGCCGACTTATATTTTTATACCTTGAAGCATTACATATGAGAGAGAAATTTTGTCTGTTCAATTGTTAGTCGGCTTATCTTCTTATCTTATTATTTTTAAAAGCATTACATATGAGAGAGAAATTATGCCGCTCAATTGTTAGTCAGTTTTTTTATTATACCTAAAAACAATATATATGAGAGAGAAAATTCACCCTTATCCTCCACAAATGTGTAATGATTCACCTAATAACAATTTCATTTTCACCGTTTTCCACATCTTCATCTAATAACTAAAAGTACTACCTCCGTTCCGCTATGATTGTTCCATTTTACCTTATCGATCCGTCCCACTAAGATTGTCTCATACCAAATTTGGTAAAGTTTGCATGACTCTATATCATTCTTACTTTATTCTTATTTTATGAATGTAATATCAACCACATGAACCACTTTTTATCAATTTGCGTGTCACTCCCTCTTGTGCCATTGTTAACGGGATGGAGAGAGTAGTACATATGAGATAAAAAATTCTACTGCTCATTTGGTAGCCAGCTTGTGTTATATCCAAAAGAACTAATTATGAGAGATAAAGTTATCCTGCTTAATTGTTAGCCGACTTATGTTCTTATACCTTGAAGAATTACATATGAGAGAAAAAATTTGGCCGCTCAAATGTTAGCCGGCAAATCTTCTTATATTCTTAAAAGCATTACATATGAGAGAGAAATTATTCCGCTTTTTTATTATATCTAAAAACACTATATATATGAGAGAGAAAATTCTCTCTCATCCTCCACAAATGTGTAATGATTCACCTAATAACAATTTTATTTTCACCGTTTTCCACATCTTCATAACTTAATTACATAATTGCATTTTAATTAGCTTTAATTTTTTCCATTAGATTGTTAGTTCTTTGAGTTATTTTTCATACAAAGTATATCTTTTCAATTGCAAGAACTTCTACTATGCAAGTTTATTATTATGAATAGTGTGAACTTTTGATTCATAAGTTTATTTTCATTTGGCTTCCAGTTGGTAATCTACTATAGTGCTTCTTTCATGGTCCATTGATTCTGAATAAATAAATTTTCTGTAAGAACCATAACATTTCGTCATTTATTGGTAAATTAACTTTGATTATCTCTCACCGAAAACTATGATACTATGAACATGGTTAAAAAAAATCATTTAAAGTCAAGGCACTATATGGTACTATTTTATCACTATGTTCATTAAATTGTAGAGATCTTTTCAGGAATAACATTTGATCAATAGAGGGTCATCATAAGCCTATCTCGTTTGTATATACATAATTGGAAGTCTACAATAGTAACTATTTTTTTTTACTCCAGGGGATCTGGGGGAGGAGGGCTAGGGGGCCTAGAGTAATCAGGACTGAAACTCATTGTGGTTGAGTAAAAAAAGGTAAATGAATCTTAGCAGTTGCTACATTGGGAATCATCTGAAACTCTTTTGTAAGTCTATCTTGATTGTATGTACATAATTGGAAGTCCACAATAATAACTAAATTCAAGTTTATTTATATTTTTGAGTCGTTTACATATTATAAACGACTCAAAAAGTTTCAATTTTTTTTAAGATTCTCATTTTCTTCACTTTTACAAATTCCTTTTTTCAAAAAGTTCATTTTTATTAGCCACTAAACTCTTTTTATTAGCCAATTTTTTTGAAATTGATGAAATTATGACAGAAGTGACTGAATTGATTGAATATATTGATTCATGGATGAATTTAATTGAAATTATATTATTAAAGAAGTAATTAAAAAAATTAAATGAGAAGTAGTTAAGAATGATTCTGTATAGTAACTTCATTCGAATTTGTCAAAAAAATAATTTCAATCAAGCTAAACTTAAATAGATCAAAGAAATTTAAAACAAACCAAAAATGATAAATCAATATTTTCATATTTGCCCATTTTTTCTTAAAAAGAAAGAATAATAATTGTAGGGTTCAAGAATTTAAATTACTCATTGTCTTCGATTCATACCAACTCAAAATAGAACTAAACAGACCAACTCAAAGTTTTATTTTATTAGAACTAAATAGATTTTCATTTTGCGGATTTTTATATATCAAACCAGTGCACATTAAATCATACAATACTTTAAGAAAGTTTTCTTAAAAAAATTAGTATTTTTAGATTTTTTTCCTTTCATGGTCTGATTTTGATTTTAGAGACCGTTTATAGTACTGAAATTAGTTGAATTTGTTGAAATGGATGAAATTATGAAAAAAGTGGTTGAATTAGTTGAATCTGTTGATTTATGGGTAATTTAATTTAAAACACTTTTATTAATCAAATAAAGAAAAACATTATATGAAAAGTAGCTAAAAAGGAACAGTTACAGTAATTTCAGCCAAATCAGACAGCAAAATAGATCAGAAAATGTATATAGATAATTTTTAAGCATATTTATTATAGAGACCTATAATAAATTATATTTTTATATATTCAATATTGATCTCACATCAAAGATTACAAAAGTTATGAATTTTGATGTATATTTTGTAAAAAAAAATAAAGGTCTTGCTTAAATCTTTTGTTGCATATCACCCCTTTCTCTTCTTCATCGCGGAAGATTCAAGACCCTTGTTTTTGTTGGCTCATCTGCTGTACTCAATCCCGGTTTTTGAGTACTTCGACTGCAATTTGCTGGTCTGATCTGGTCTGATCTGGTCTGGTCTGGTCTGTACTGGTCTGGTCTGGTCTGGTTTCTTTGTATTTTTATAACTATCCAAGTCTGGTCTGGTCTGGTCTGAACTGGTCTGGTCTGGTCTGGTCTGATCTGATCTGATCTGGTCTGGGACGAATTACAGTCTGAGTAAAAACATCCTTATTTCTCCTATATATTTAAACACTTATTTATTTTATAAAATCATCCTGAAACCTTTCATTATTTATGTAAAGCTATTACGGAGTACTAGTTTTGAAGTATTTTAGATGTGAAATTTAGTCTTAATTACCCTCAAATCTAAAACCATGATTTCATTCACAACTCTTAAGTCCTAAATCTAAAACAAATTTAGTCAACTCCTCTAAGGTTGTAGTACCCACCATATGGCCACTCTAGTACCTCGGTCCTAAAATATTTAGTCAAATTCAAAATTTTGATCGATTATAAATATTTATTACGGAGTAGAAATTATCTACGTAGTATAATATAAAAATGATATGAAAATGTTCTTTGTTAAAACTACTTCCATGGAAGTGTAAATTTTATAATTTTCATAATATTATACCAATCATACTTTATTATTATTTTACTCTTTTAATATATTTTCTTTCTTACTTTTTCATTTACCCTACACACTCTATATTACCCCTACTATTTTCCTCTTAAAACCCGTGTGCAAGCCTAAAGAATAATTAATAAAGAATGGAGGAAGTAATACAGAGTGACTTAAAATTAATACCGAGTAAAAATTTATTGTATATTTATAATCCAAAGGGCATATTGGTCTATAAAATTATTTATTTATTTATTTGTTTGTTTATTTATTTATTATTTGAATGGAAATCACCCATATTTATATCATTAGTTTCAAAATAATTACATCATGTTGAATATGACCAAGCTTGAAGTTCTCTAATTACCCATGCATGTCCATGCACGTGGGAGTTTAGTTCGAGTTTAAATATTTGAATAAGTCTAGATCAGTTTCCTCATTTTTAGGACGTAATGCATGCATGTTGTTATGGTTGTTATTTTACCTACTTTTCAGTCAAGCATTTCCTTTTCTTTAGCCATGAGAGTTGCCACACTGTTAGTGGAGATCATGCTTAACTCTAGCTCATGTAAAGACTATTTAAATGCCTTCGTTCATTTTCAGTTTAATTAATGAGAGACACTTTGCATCATTTCTTTTCTTTCCTTAGTTAAAGTTAACATTTGGTATCAGAGCTTTAAGGATTCTTTCCTTGGGCCGTGTTGAGTGTTTACGAGGGAGTGAAACACTATTCTTGGAGGGAACTATCACCATGCAGAACAACAATGGGAGTGGAAGTTCTCTCAATCAACTGCCTATCTTCAAAGGAGTGAATTTTCATTTTTGGAGTCTAAAAATGAAAACTCTTTTCAAATCACAAGAACTTTGGAGCTGTGTAGAGAATGACTTTGAAGATGATGGCACTGAAGAACCGGATCAAAACTTAAGGGAGAAAAGAAAGAAGGATGCAAAGGCCTTGTATATCATCCGACAATCCTTGGATGATGCAGTGTTTCCACGCATTGCAGCAACTTCTACAGCAAAAGAGGCATGGAAAAATTACTTAATCAAGAGTATGTAGGAGATAAGAAGGTAGTAGCTATTCGTCTGCAGTCCTTGAGAAGAGAGTTTGAGAACCTGCAGATGAAACAAAAGGAATCAGTTCCAGATTACATCTCAAGGGTGACTGGTTTAGTTCAAGAGATGAGTACTCTTGGTGAGCAGCTCACATCTAAACAAATTGTTGGGAAAACTCGTAGAAGTCTTACCAAGAAATATGAGCATGTTGTTGCAGCAATTGAAGAGTCATAAGACCTTGAAACTTACACATTTGAGGAGCTGAAAGGCTCTCTTCAAGCTCATGGAGAAAGGTTGAGCAAAGATGAGGATCAGAAGGATGAAAAGACATTCCAAGTGAAAGATGAACCCTCTAATTATCACAAATCTCCATCAAATGCAGGCAGAGGCAGAGGTAGAGGTGGTTCAAGGGGCAGAGGGCATGGGAGAGGTCCACACAATGAGGGAAGAGATCAAACCTCTCAACCTCAAAAGAGTCCTCTCAAATGTTATTTGACGAGCACTTTGTCACGGTGCGTCAAAATAATTTCAATACTAAACACTTATACATAGTATAGCGTAGTAGAGTTCGTATCCACAGGGAAAGGAACGATTTTCTTTCTATGAAACTAGTAATGAAAAGGGGGTTTTTGGTTTTGAGTGATTTAATTCAATTAAGAAACTAAGATGAACAACCTATATGTGTTTAATTCAAAGATAAAAAGGACTTGACATTGCTACTTTCCACTTGTTGATATATTTTAGTCGATCATTGTTATATCTATAACTTATTCCCTCTCGAATACTCAATCGGGGAGTATATCCACTTCATCGAGGGTAGTTATTAACAACGACCGTTCATTAATAACCCTTACTATTAATCAAATATAGAACAACGCCTTATACCGATTTAATAGTAGCATTTAATCTTTCTAACTCCTTGATGAAATCAATTGAGATTGATAACCTCAACACAAGCGGTTTCGGTTTAACCAACAAAATTAATCCCTCTTAAGTTTATTAACCACGACCGTGCATTAATAAACCGAAGTTACTTACTTGTGAAACCATCAACGATTAACCATCGGTTCGTTGATCGTTTCTAGTAATAATTAATATATGAAACAAAACTAGTTGATCCTTTAATTAATGTTCAAAATATTAATATGAAATATGAGTAGGGATTAATTAATATTCAAGGAAGAATATTATTAAAGAAGATGAATCCTACTATAATTAATATCAAGATGTTAACTAATTGTCATCTTAGCAACACTCCCCAATGTTAATATAGAGGAAGAAAATATCATTCTAACTAATGTCGAGATGTTAACTAATTGTCATCTTAGCAACACTCCTCAACATCAATATAGAGATGGTATTAAGGAAAGAACTATTAATTAATATTCAAGGAAAGAAGTTAAGAAAATAACTCACAACTTTAATAATCAACAAACTTCAAGAGCAACACCAAGAATGGAAGTTTAGCTCCTCATTTGGAGGCTAAACATAGCTAGAAAGATGTAAAGAAATGCTATTCTAAACTGAGCTAAAGAGAATGGAAGAAGGGATTATTTTTAGAGGAGAAAAGGAGTGCTATTTATAGGTGTTTTTCAACACCATTGGCCGGGTACCCGACCGGGTATAGGTACATACCCGACCGGGTCCGGTCAAAATCAGATATTTCCCCACGTTCTGGTGATCTTCGGCATGTTAAAGTGTCCGGGTCAAGTCAGACCCGACCGGGTGGGGTAGGGGACCCGACCGGGTGAGTGCAAAAATTGGATATTCTTCACGTTCGGGTGATCTTTGCACACCGGGTTGTCCCCGGTCACTTCTCACCCGACCGGGTAAGGTAGTAGGCCCGACCGGGCCATGCACTTTCTTTGCATTTTCGTTTTTCACTTCTTACCTGACCGGGTCAAGTGTTATACCCGGTCGGGTATTTGCTCCTGGGCAGCCAAATCTTCTTTTTCTTCACTTCAAAGTCTTCCTTTCCAACACCACAAATCCTAACTAAACTTTACAACTTACAAATAAAGACTAAAATACAATTACAACTGAAATCACATAAATGTTTACAAACTAAATAAAACGTCAAACAATTAACATAAATCAAACATAAAAACATGTAATTATGCACTACTAATTAGTGTGCATCATTATTACTGCAACAAACCTGGACATAAGGATGCAAACTGCTGGAAGAAAGTAGAAGATGAGAACAAAGGAGATTCCAAATCAAACTTTGTTGAGCATGAAGAAAAGCTTTTTCTTGCCCAACATGCTTCAAGATACACTGGTGAAAATGGGGTATGGTATGTTGATAGTGGTTGCTCAAATCACATGTCAAGTGCCAAATCTCTGTTCAGGGAATTGGATGAAACTATGAAAAGCACAGTAAGACTTGGGGATGGGAAGCAACTTGATGTGGAAGGTAGAGGCACAATTGCAATTACTACTGAGATAGGCAACACCAAGCTTCTATATGATGTACAATTTGTACCTAAGTTGGCTCATAATCTGCTTAGTGTTGGTCAGTTAGTAAACTCTGGCTACTCCTTAGTATTTGAAGATGAGACCTGCACAATCAGTGATAGGAAATCTAAGGAGATCATAGCCAAGATTGAGATGGGAAAGAACAAAATGTTTCCTCTTGATCTGGCAAGGCAAGTGGGCAAAGCCTTGGTAGTAAAAGGAGATGATAATGCTAAACTATGGCACCTGAGATATGGGCATTTGAATATGCAAGGGCTGAAGCTTCTGCATTTCAAGGAAATGGTGCAAGGGTTACCAAGGCTTGGTGAGTTTGAGCTGTGTGAAGTCTGTCTTTATGGGAAGCAATCAAGAGGGTCATTTCCGACGGGCAAAGCATGGAGAGCCAGCCAATGCCTTGAGCTCCTTCATGCAGATATCTGAGGACCAATGCAGACTGTTTCTCTTGGAGGAAGTAAGTATTTCTTGCTTATCACAGATGATTTCAGTAGAATGAGTTGGGTGTACTTTCTTAAAGCCAAATCAGAAGCATTTGATCACTTTAAGAATTTTAAAGCAATGGTTGAAAAACAATCTGGACTATATGTAAAAGCCTTGAGAACTGATAGAGGTGGTGAATTCATGTCAAATCAATTTCTCAAGTTCTGTGATGAGCAAGGAATAAGGAGAGAATTAACTGCACCTTATACTCCTGAGCAAAATGGAGTGACAGAGAGGAAGAACAGGACAGTAATGGAAATGGCAAGAAGCATGCTCAAAGCTAAAGGTGTTCCAAATGAGTTTTGGTGTGAAGCTGTAGCCACAGCTGTATACATTCTCAATGTCTCCCCTACCAAAGCAGTTATGAATATGACTCCATTTGAGGCCTGGCGTGGAAAGAAACCATCTGTAAGTCACTTGAGAATTTTTGGATGTTTAGCTTACACTTTAGTAGACTTGAGGTCCAAACTAGATGATAAATCTGTCAAATGTGTTCTAGTTGGTTATGCACCTCAATCTAAGGCTTACAGGTTGTTTAATCCTCTTACTAGCAAAGTCATTGTTAGTAGAAATGTGGTGTTTGATGAGAGTAAAGGTTTGGATTGGAAAGGAAAAGCAGTAAATAGTGAGGGTCAGTATGATTCAGTAGAATTTGATAGTTCTGAGGAAGAGCTGGTTGATGCTCACACTCCAAGTCCTCCACCAAGTACTCCCTCAACACCATCATCAAGTCAGAGTTCAACAAGCTCATCAGATGAAGACTCAGCCCCAAGAAGATATAGGTCTTTAGCTGACCTATATGAAAACTGTGACTTTGCCTTGATGACAACTGATCCTACACACTTTGATGAAGCCAAATCAAGTCCAGAATGGCAAATTGCTATGAATGAGGAGATCAAAGCAATAGAAAAGAACTCAACATGGGAGTTAGTGGATCTTCTAGAAGGGAAGAACATCATTGGCTTGAAATGGGTATTCAGAACCAAGTTCAATACAGATGGCAGTATTCAAAAGCATAAAGCCAGGTTAGTGGCAAAAGGCTATGCACAAGAGGAAGGCATAGACTTTGAGGAAACTTTCTCACCTGTAGCAAGAATGGAAACTGTTAGAGTAGTTCTAGCTCTAGCAGCCCAATGGAATTTGAAGGTATTTCAACTTGATGTAAAATGTGCTTTCCTAAATGGGCACTTGCAGGAAGAAGTCTTTGTTCAGCAACCTCTTGGATTCATAAAACAGGGTGAGGAACACAAGGTGTACAAGCTTAAGAAAGCTTTATATGGGTTGAAGCAGGCACCTCGTGCATGGTACAGTAAGATTGATTCTTTCTTTCTTCAAAATAACTTTGAAAGAAGTGAGAATGAACCAACTCTTTATGTGAAAAGAAAGAAAGATGTGCATGAGTTTATAATTGTCTGCCTTTATGTAGATGATATTATCTACTTTAGCTCTTCTCAGAAAATGCTTAATGAGTTTAAAGCTGCTATGATGAATCAGTTTGAGATGACAGATCTAGGAATGTTACATTACTTCCTTGGTCTGGAAGTAAGGCAGAGTGATGATGGAATTTTCTTATGTCAAAAGAAGTATGCAGAAGATTTGCTTAATAAATTCCATGTGAAGAAGTCTGAGGCAATGAAAACTCCCATGAATCCCATGAAAGCAGATGAGAAGAGTTATAGAAGTTTAGTTCGAGGCCTGAACTATCTCACACACACAAGGCCTGACCTAGCCTACAGTGTGAGTGTAGTTTCAAGATATATGCATTCTCCAACTAAGCAACACATGTGGGCAGCAAGAAGAATACTAAAGTATGTTGCATGATCAATTGAAGTTGGAATACTTTATGAGAGTGTGAAAGATTTCAGGTTAACAGGTCATACTGACAGTGATTGGGCAGGTTGCTTAGATGATAGGAAAAGCACATCAGGTTCTGTGTTCAATCTTGGGTCTGGAGCAATCACTTGGAGTTCCAAGAAACAAGAAACTGTAGCCCTTTCATCATCTGAAGCTGAATATGTGGCTGCAGGTGCTGCAGCAAGACAAGCAATGTGGTTGAGAAATCTGCTTAAAGATTTGGGCTGTGAACAGGTTGGTGCAATTGAGGTTTGGTGTGACAACAAATCTGCAATTGCAATGACTAAGAACCCTGCATTCCATGCAAGAACAAAGCATATAGAAGTCCATCATCACTATATCCGGTAGTTGGTAGCTCAGGAGAAAATGAGCTTGAAATTCTGCGGAACTAATCTTCAAAATGCAGACCTGTTTACTAAAGCTCTGAATCAAGCAAAACATCACTATTTCATGGAGAAGATAGGTATGAGCAAGCTTGGATCAAGGGGAGGTGTTGAATATGACCAAGCTTGAAGTTCCCTAATTACCCATGCATGTCCATGCACGTGGGAGTTTAGTTCCAGTTTAAATATTTGAATAAGTCTAGATCAGTTTCCTCATTTTTAGGACGTAATGCATGCATGTTGTTATGGTTGTTATTTTACCTACTTTTCAGTCAAGCATTTCCTTTTCTTTAGCCATGAGAGTTGCCACACTGTTAGTGGAGATCATGCTTAACTCTAGCTCATGTAAAGGCTATTTAAATGCCTTCGTTCATTTTCAGTTTAATTAATGAGAGACACTTTGCATCAATTCTTTTCTTTCCTTAGTTAAAGTTAACACATCAATAAAAAAAATCATACCACACGCCAACTAACCTTCACCAATTACGACTGTAAACTCTACGATTACATATAAGAATTGATCACCCCAAAAAGAGCAACGTGAATAGCTAACCACGAATCGAGGCTTGATACAACTATCACTATTATTATAGATCCGTATACTTCTAACGACATAATAACAAGCTAACTTTTCAATCAACCCGATAAACCTTGCAACAAAGACCTTAACAAGAAACCGTGATAATCAATAGGATAAATTTCTCTAACCCTAGCACATCATTCCATCTCCCTCGCTACGCAGTGCCGCCACACTACGGCCGCCTTGACCTCCCCTCCATCCTAGGCGAAGCTGAGCCTGGCCAATAGCACCTCATAGCCCCCCTAATTATAAGAGATCTTCGAACTGTGGCAGCCATGAACTAGTACCGTACTGCATCACCAAAACTTCAAAACTTTCCAAAATAGAGCTCCTCCACACATTTGTTGGCTGAGGGCCCGCACGTCTTTCACTGTAGCAGCTAGGAAAGTAGAGAACGAAAAGAAAAAATTAAAAGAGAAAAGAGAACAGAACCCACGTACATACTTACAGGGTGGCATGGATGTAGACGTACTGATCCCATACCCCTCCCAAATGGGTCCTTAATAATACGGAGTGTCTTAAAAATTAAGGGCCCTTTGCATTAAAACTGTAGACATTTCTACGTACGTAAGACCCAATATATACTACTCCGTAGCTTGTATCTTTTTTATTCAAGAAAAATAAATTAAAGTTTTGCTTTTCCTGATATTTTATTGTCATCTGCTTCTTCTGTTCTTTCTGGTAGATCGAGTATAGTAGCTAGTGATGGGGAATTGCGCTGGTTTTTCCGCAAGAGTTGACGCCACTCAGAGCTCCCACATCTCTTCTGGTATATCTCCCTTCATTCCTTTCTAACTACGAGTTCCTCAAAATTCTGAGCTTTTTGTGTTTTGGAACCAGGGGCTGACCGTAGTAGAGACCCAGGGGGGCTACCGCCCCCAACAATTTTTTTTAGTGTATATATATACGAAAAATAATTTTTGCTCTTCCAAAAAGTATTTTGGACCCCCCAAAAATATTTTCGCCCCCCAAAATGACTTTCCTGGGTCCGCCCCTGTTTGGAACAACATTCGGTTTTTTAACTCTTGGGGTTAGAAACATTTCAAATACTACCCGTTCCGTTGGACATTATCAATTTACATTAGACTGTTAGAGTAAAATAAGAAAAGTAAAAAATTGTTCACAATTGTCACTTCTTGATCCTCTTTGATGTTCTCTATTTGTTCTCTCCTTTTTCACTTTTGATAAGTTTTTTCAATAAATATACTCATTTACTCTCATTCTCTTTTCTACTTTTTCATTCTATTTCCTACTTTTACCTTTACACACAACCTACTACACATTTTATCCTACCCCTATTAATTCCTTCTTAAATCTTATGCCAATTAAGGCTATACTCTCATCTATTAGCTAGAGAACATGAGAGTATATAAGATCTTGAATTATTCCTCGTATTTTAATACGAATGATGATATCAAGCCAAACAAGACCAAACTGCTCCTCATATTTTAATATCATAACAAGCCAAACAGGTCCAAACTGCTCGGCATAAAGTATACTCCACCACGAAAAAATATACTACCTCCGTCCCAATAAATTCTTCCAAGTCAGACTTGGCTCTCAAATTTCGAAAGTGAGAATAAAGTGGAAATGTATAATTGTAGTTGTTTAAGAAAAAGGTAAATAAATGTGAACCACATATTTTTTCCAAAAGTGGAAGTTGAAATTTTTTTTTGGACAATCCAAAAGAAAAGTTGGAAGAATTTTTCGGGACGGAGGGAGTACTCATTAGTCATTATGTCCCTTATAACATTGTCAAATTTCATTTTTCCGTCTAATTATCTTTGCCAGCAGTGGTAGATTTCCAATCAAATTGTGGGTATTTAAAATTAAATATATATTATGTTCTCAACAACAAAAAACTGGTAAATAAGATTATATATAGGAGATATTATCTAAAAATACACCAATTATTACATCAATTCTATATGTATATTCTTACATTTTAGTTTCAAGTTTTGGTTGTCCACATGAACCCCTTTGAATAAGGGGAGCTGTCCCTGTTTGTCAGTTTCCTTTTAAATAAAGAATTTGTGATATTTGTTAATTTTGTATACTATACACAAAGTTCAATCACATAATTTTTACTAACCTTTGACTGGTTCAGTTCTCAGAAAACAAATAGAGTCATACGGAGTATAAAATATCTAACTCTAAATATCGATCAATAACTATAAATTATTTGTAGGACTGATATGGAACCGAACCAAGTTGGGCCATAGCGGTTTTGTTTCCAAAGGCTCGTCTCGAATTTTTACTTTATTATTCTACATGTCAGAAGACTTAGTTAAATCTTAATAACAATGGCATATTTATAACGAAAATAAAGATGGTAGTTTATGAAAAATGTGACATTTTCAGTGCAGTGAGCATATTAGTACTCCCTCCGTCCCCCTATAATTGTCTCATTTTTTCATTTTTGGATATCTCTTTATTATTGTCACATACCAAATTTGGTAACATTTGTGTGACTCTAATTCATTCTTACTTTATTTCTACTTTATCAACTAATAATCAACCACATAATTCTACTTTTCTTAAAAACCACACCACTCCCTTCCGTATCAATATTAGGGGGACGGAGGGAGTACTATTTTTGTGTCATTTTATGTGTGTTGTTTTGATTTTGACACAATTATTAAAAAAAGTAAAAAGTTAAGGTTATGGTTGACATTATGTGTCTTGTGTTTTGGTTTGACCTATTTAAATTTTACGTTTAAGTGATCATAATATTTGTGATAGTAACTTAAGTATATGTTTATCAATAAATTTATTCCATTATGTTTTATGAAAACCCCCATCTCTATATACTAGTAATACTCTACTGTATTTCGCTTTAAATTACCGTCACTTTTATTCATTTATTGACCTTTTCTCTGTTTTTAAATTATCCTTCCTATGTTGCATGTCTACAGTCTACTGGACCAGTGGATAGTCGCAACCATGTACTGTCGGGGACATTAATGCCATCTTCCTACATATAGGCTCCATTGGAAGTTATTTTTTTTTTATAAAAAAGATTTAAAAATGTATACAAATAGGAATATATAAGACATAAAAAAGGTTGTACGTAGTAAAATATTATAGAATATATTATCTTTCGAAAGTATGACTTATTTAATCTTTTTAAGCTTGAGTTTAAAAAATAAAGTATCACTATATAAATCGGCTTTTGAGAAGAAAATATCTATTACGGACTACATTTTTGAATGTGCTTGCAGCTTGCACTCCTATTATAATATCTACTCTTTTACTATATTGTACTTTTATTTATAGCTAGAATTTTCTCATCAGACATAAACTGATGAAATCATATCAAATTAAACCAATCAATTTTTATGGTCACCAAAACAGGGCTCAAGAAGTCAAAGAAAATACGGGTCCTTGGAAGTGAAAGAAGAAAATACGAATCTAAGTAAGTCAAAGAAAAATCCAATTTTGATGAATTCAATAAAGGAAATGATGAAGCTAACTGATGTACGGAGTACAGTTTTGATGAATTACTTTTGATGTACTCCGCCAAAATTTAAGGGTTTTTTCAAAAATATTATCAAAATAAAACGTATTTACAACTCTGGTTCAAAATGCAAAAATAGGAGTACCATGTTTTGAATAGGAGTAACTTTAGTGTTTGGACAAGTATACCCCTACCCAAACCCCAACAATTTTTAATTAAATGTTTAATTCATAATAAATTCAAAAAAAATTCAAAAAATCGTAGAAAAATAATTATAAAATTTATAAAATATTAATAAAATAAAAAATTTAATTTTTTTTAAATTTTTTATTTAAAAAAAAAATAGTAAAACTCCATAAAAAAATTAAAAAAATATGGATGCCTTTCCCACCGCTTGTACTACCTCCCTGCACCACCACCTCCGGGCAGTGAAAAAAAAACAATTTTTCCTAAAAACTGCCTTTTTTCTTAAAATGCCAAAAACATGGCATATTTCTCTTTGCGAATGCCAACATTTTCATTGTTTTCTGCCATAAATATGGCATTCGTAATGAACTTGGCATTTTTTTCCCCTGGTGACTGGAGGTGGTGGTGCTGAGGCGGCAGAGACTGCGGTGAATTTTATTTTATTTTTTTGAGTTTTTTATTTTTTTATTTTTTTTTTAATATTTTTTTATTTTTTGAAAAATAAATAAATAAATTATTATTATCGAATAAGTCATAAATTAACTAGGTTAGGATTAAATAAGTCATATTTTAGAATTAACTAGGTTAGGAATATTAAGGATACAAAATTAATGTTTACTCCTATTGAAGGAAGTTTTAAGTTTTACTCCTATTTGTGCAATTATGTTTATATTTACTCCTATATTGGGCAATTTCTATTTAAAAAATGGGGTATCGTACCTATCATTAACTTGATTGGTCCACATCATTATATCATTTTTTATTTAGATTTAAATAATTCAACTGTAATATTCTCTTTGGTCATAGAATCTCATTAAAACTAGTCTGCAAAGGTATGATACCTTATGAGTATCATAGAATCTACAATTAGTGTCATGGTAGCTTAAGTTTATAAAATAAATACTATCTTATAAGTTTTCATGACCACTTTTGTCACTAGTCACATTTTTGTAAACAATGTTTATTTTATTTATAAATATGTATTTATTTCATTATTTAATTAATGTATTCCAAAATCTATTTGTGGTTTGGATTCATAGCTTCTGAAGCTTCTCAAGTTCCCAAGAAAAGAGGAGAGTCCCCTAACCTGTCTTCTGCTTTAACGCTGCCTTCATCATCATCTTCATCTGGTCAAAAACACAGTGAGGGTAGTAGGCTTCCTACCCCAAGGTCCGAAGAAGAAATATTACAATCCCCAAATGTGAAAGCCTTCACGTTTCTTGAGCTGAAGAATGCGACCAAAAATTTCAGAAGGGAAGGCCTTCTAGGGGAAGGAGGGTTCGGGTATGTATACAAAGGATGGATAGATGAACATACCCTCAACCCTACAAAACCAGGATCTGGTATTGTCATCGCCATTAAGAAGTTAAAGCCTGAAGGCTTTCAAGGCCATAAAGAATGGCTGGTATGCATATATTTCACGAGGAAATTCTAGTTTTAGTCTCGTAACTTATGGTTTTGCCCACCACTAGGAGGCCATTTGGTAACACTGTTTTTCGGCTTATCAGGCTTCTCCCAACTTTTTCACCAAACACGTTAGTTTTGTTTTCGCGCGCTAAATTGTGTAATAATAATAAAAAAAGTAAGGTTGAAATTACTTTTCTGGCTATATTAGCTGAAGTTACTGTAGATGACTATTTTAGCTATTTTTACATACTATGTATAATTTTTTCTCTATTTTATTAATAAAATGTATTTTAAAAATATTTTTTCTTAAATCAGCAGAATCAACCAATGCAGCCACTTCAGCCAGAACTTCATAAATTTGAGCAGAATAAGCCGAATCAGCAGATTATCATGTTACCAAACGAGCTCTAGATTTGATCATTAACTAAAAAGTGTGTTCAAATTAAAGACTTCCACTACTTTCCAGATAAATTTTGAGTCTAGTGGCATCTTTTTTGGTATGTTTTATGTCAGGAAGGAAAAGTGTTTTCCGATTGAAGAGTCCTTAAAGTGATAAATTTATTAATTACAGCAATGAATTTGTCAGAAGTAAGTAAAGTTATAGAACTAATAATGAAGACAACCGAAAGTAATTACGAGATGAAAAGTATGAATCTATCCATATTTCGCCTATTCAATCATTATGTCATGCATATGATCAGTTTTTTATTCTTGGGCTTCAATTCTATTGCTTTTTGGAAGAATTACTTGTTGAGGAAATTGATTATAATTTTTAGACACCAAGAAGTGCTAAAGGAAAGTGATTATAATTTTCTTCACTGCATTGATGGAAAGTGCAGTCGATGAATAAAAGAAAGTGAATTGAAGCCGATGAATAAAAAACTTATTTTTATTTTTTTGCATATATTTAAATTTCTTAAAAGTAATTTAGCAATGTGTTTTCCTCTTGTAGACTGAAGTTAATTACCTCGGGCAACTTCAACATCCAAACCTGGTTAAACTAATTGGATACTGCTTAGATGGTGACAACCGGCTATTGGTGTATGAGTTCTTGTCTAAAGGCAGCTTGGAGAATCACCTTTTTAGAAGTACGTTGTTCCTAATAAACTATCCTTTCATCTTGTTAATTCTTACGCAAAATTTCTGAATAGAGGTAAAAATGTTTGAGAATTCTAAAATAGGTCTGTCACATTTTTTATTATTTAAATAATAATAATTACTGCCAATTTAGAAAAATATTATCATGTTTAAAGTCTGGTACTGCTAAAACATGACTTTAATTACTCCTATCTAAGAATAAAAACATAATAGTTCTATTTAAGAATATATAAACGTTTTTACTTCTATTTAGGGCAATTTCTTTAATCCTTATAATATATCAAGCAAATTACAACAAACAAGTGTGTTTAAACTTTTTGAAATAGAAATTACAAATATTAGGGAGTAAGTCATATATGTAGTACTGTATTATATATGTAGAATGTTGATGTTCCACATGGATGAATAATGAAGTAATGGAGTGTTATATTAAGATCTGAGATTACTCGTCATATCAAGTCAAGTTGACCTATTAGGATGTAATCTTAAGTCTTAACACATAAATTACAAAGATTATATATTAGATTTAATTTGTAATTCCCTTGTTTATTATAAAGGGCAACTGAACATGCTTCTAATTCCTAAAATGCTCAATATTTCTTTGAGCTTAATTGTATAATGCGTTTGGATATCAAATGGCTAGTTAATCATATATAGTCTTATACTTGGATATATTAATTTATAGGGGGGTCACAGCCCATGAGTTGGGCCACCAGGATTAAGGTAGCTATTGATGCGGCAAGAGGTCTTGCTTTTCTGCATAATGCTAAAGAGGCTGTTATATATCGTGATTTTAAGGCAGCTAATATTCTTCTCGACACGGTATGTTTTATTTATTCAACTAATGTGGGTACACACTAACACACCTTTTGCTTGGGCTGTTGGATTAATACAAGGAAAATGTTGTTGTGCACTTTTCGGCTAATTGTGTGTACATAGATAATTCGGGCGTCCTGTAAAATGGCGTGTACAAAAAAACTTGTACATGAAGCGTGATTGTTAATCCGTACAATTACACATTTTGTCACATTCAACAAAATTAAATGACACATATTTTCAATTTTATTAAATACTAATTTCCTTTTTGTCCCGAAATAAGTGTCACGTTTCATTTTTTTGAAAAAAAAATATGTGATCACATCATTTCACTTAATTATACTCAAATCTCAACCACAACTTGTACTGTTCAATCACTATAAGGGAAAAGGTACAAATATATCCTCGTAGTATTGGTGTTAGAACAAATATACTCATGTTCATTTTTTGGAACAAATATACCCCTGAAGTTTATGTGGAAGTGTGTATATACTCTTGAACTTTTAAAAGGTGCAAAATTACCCATTATATTCCTATACGAAGCTAATTTATCCTTATCGACTTTAAATAGATAAAATTAATTTTAAAAAACACCAAAAAAAAATTATAAATTTGAAATCGAAAAAATAATATCAACTTGTGTCCAATTCCCCCTTTTATTAGTTTCTATATCACAATTGAATATTGCTAGTATAAAATGTTATGAAATAATGGCCAAAATATTACTTCTAAAGTTTGTGTGGACACAAATATGACTCATTTTTGAGTTGACAAAAAAGTGACCCACATAGTTCGTATGCTTCCAGCAGCGGTCTCCGGCCAGCGGTGGTCACCGGTGTGAGGTGGTGGTTGAAGTCACTGTGTAGCATGTCAATGTGGCGTGTAACTATGACGTGTCACTGTAGCAATAGTTATATTAAAATTAGTAAAAGGGTTAACATATGTTTTGCGATGTAAAAAAATCATTAATTTTTCGTATTCATGGCACGTACTATAAAATTACATACGTAGTATTTTGTATGATGATAAATAATCCAAGATTACAAAATAGTGAATTTAATTTTATTAAGGTTAAACAAAAACAATGAATGTTATTTCAAAAAATATAAAAATGTGTTTAAAATTTCGCAAGAAGACTAAAATTGATACAAAGTATCAATGAACTTGAAGTCCTTCATTTACAACGGAAAAATAATAATTTTGTAATTTAAAATTAAATAGTTAATATTTTAACATAAAAATAAATCTTATTTTAAACTCATTGATTTTTTAATTTTTTGATTTCGAATTTATAATTTATTTTTTGTATTTTTAAAATTTATTTAATTTATTTAATTTCAATAAGAGTAAATTTGTTCCTTTATAGGAACATGAGGGGTATTTTTGCATTTTTTAAAAATTTAGGGGTATATATGCACCTCCACATAAACTTCTGAAGTATAGTTGTTCCCAAAAATAGAACATAGATATAATTGTTCTCACATCCATATTATAGGGATATATTTGTACCTTTTTCCATCACTTTATCGATAATTGTGCCAAATCAAAGTAGAAAACACAGGTAATACATAATACTCCATCCGTCCCATTAAATTCTTCCCACTTTCCTTTTTGGGCCGTCCCAAAAAATTCTTCCCACTCACTATTTTTGGACAATTTGTGTGGTTCACTTTATTCCACTTTCTTAATCTTCGTGTCAAGTCAAAGTGAGAAGAATTTTATGGGAGGGAGGCAGTAATTTGTTTGTTGATGGAGCACCTAAAGATAGAATTATTCTTATTAAATATTTTATCTGAAATCCTACTTTTGACTTCATTGTTGCAGGAATTCAACTCCAAGCTCTCAGATTTCGGTTTGGCTAAGGCTGGCCCGACAGGTGGCCGCACTCATGTGACTACTCGAGTAATGGGTACACAGGGCTATGTAGCACCAGAATATATTGCTACAGGTTTATTACTTCTCTATTTCAATTGGTTAAATGAGTTGCTATATTTTAACACATGTTACCCATTATCAGAGGTTAACCAGGGGTAGCTAGGGCTCATAACAAGTTTAGAATCTCACCTAAATTTTGAAAAGCTTTGATTTTAAATAAATACTCTGTACAATAAGATAGATGTAAAAAATTTTCAGGACATCACTTTTTACTGAATCTCACCTAAATTTTGAAAAGCTTTCAGAATTGTATAGGACATCACTTTTTACAAGATTTATATATTGCCTCGGTCTCTTAAAATTATGCCTCTTTTAATATTTTGGTTAACTATGTTCAACTTTAACCAATTATATATTTCTATAGGAAGTTATTTATAATATAAAAATGATATGAAAATGCTTTATGCTAAAAGTACTTTCATAAAAGTATAAAAATTTTAAAAATTGATTCACTTCTTCTATATATGGTTACTTCAATGAATACACCTTCTAAAATCACTGCAGGTAGGTTGACGACAAAAAGTGACGTTTATAGCTTTGGTGTGGTGTTGCTCGAATTATTATGCGGTCGTCGTGCCGTTGACAACTCTAAACAAGGTGCAGAGCAACATCTTGTGGAGTGGGTGAAACCATACATGGAGGACAAGAGGAAGCTGTTTAGGATCATGGACACTAAATTGGGAGGACAGTACCCTCAGAAAGGAGCAATAAAAGTTGCAAGCCTTGCTCAAAGATGTCTAATCCGGGAATATAAGCTTAGGCCATGTATGTCTCAAGTTTTGGACGAGCTTCAACAACTTCAAGCCCCAAAAGGCCGCCTCTCTTAAGTTCTCCGGCCTAGTTGGATATGTGGTTTGATATACCTGTTTGAAAATTTTAAAAATTTAATACCCACTTGTTTTCACTCTCTTCTTCATCGTATTGATTTCATTTCTTGCAAAAAAATAGATTTTCAAGGGGCCGGCCCGCAGATAGAAGGAACATTGGAAGTATGGGAAGCCTAGGAGAGTTGCAAATTAACTGAGAGAGAGCGATAAGGGAGGATGGAAGGATTCATGATTTTAGTTGATAGTAATGCCCAAGATAATGACTTAGAGACTCGTAGGGAAGGAGGTAGAGATGAGTTGAGTTTAAGGGAATTCCTTTTCAAACGTCCCTACTAACATACACGTGACCCATACTAAGATCGAGACAACGATAGACTTTGTAATTGGTGCATAACCAATAAAAATACAAAATGAATGAAGTGTGGGCATGATTTATTTAAAGGTCGGGCAATTGAATTTGAAAAACACGCACACCCAAAAACATAAAGAAAGTTATAATCCAAAGATTTGTGAAAACGTTGTTCAAAGAGTGAGACCAAGCAAATTAGGGATAGATAAGCTTTATTATACATGTAGCAGTATACAGCACATCAAATCAATCCATAAACTAGGTATTAAAAAAGCATCAATTAATGTTATATGTGCTAGTTCTAAAATATAACAATGTTTACATTCAGGGTGATTCAGCTACCTCACTTTTGCGTTGGTGTGTCTCGACGGAACTTAGGTAAGTAAATGCCCAACCATGAAAATGTCGATGAAAAGTAGAACTATCAAATTCCACACCCTCATTACTATGGAAATATTGAATTTTACAGTAACAAAATAATTTTTCACTAGAGTTTCAAAGTTTAAAACGAGAAATCACCTCATATTTTCTTCACATGCATGGGATAGAACCAAATAAATTCAGTAAAAGTAGCAATAAAACTGACATAATACTTGAATTCCAAGACCGAAGGAACCGACGATTGTCAAACATAATGAATTACTGCTCAAAAGAATGAATATCATAACATCACTAAATGGTAAGCGATGGGACTTAACAGACAAGCGATAATGTTGTAACGAAAATTATTTGAAACATTAAGAGATTGTTTCTACCTAAGAGAATGTAAAATATTGTCTCCATAATGCCCCAAGCGACGATGCCAGATAGACCAGGTAAACCCCATCTTTTCTGAAAGTTTGGAGTAGAACTTCCCATGTTCAACTAAAAAAAGATGACACCCCATCTATGAGGGCCCTCAAGAACTGACCGAACCGTTATCTGAGAAGATGTAATTTGAGCTTTGATCTAACTATATAGAAAGACAATGTGGTTCCATCTCAAGTCATTGAGACGCGTTCAACTAAAGAAGCGTGGGACACGTGCTGGGGTAATGGGTCATATCAAATACTAACAATCCGTTCAAAGTTCAAACCAAGAGTGGGCTTGACCGGGCCTAGACACGACTTGACCAATAGATAATTGGTGCAAGATTATTTAATTGCTTCTCAAGCTGACTAGCCCATTAGCTTTAGTACTGGCTTATAAATTGGGTCAAGCCCAATTGTCATGTTTAATGAATATAACGTTTAAAAGAAATGAGTATTGATGAAAAATCCCTATATAGATAACACAATTGAATATTAGAAACATGCAATTGAGTATCATAATCTACACGTAATATATGCTATAAGTCAACTGATTCATTAAACTATATTACGATTGTATTATGACTATTATCATCAAAATATTTATAATGTTAATTTATAATGTAATATAAATACACATTTCTTTTAATATAAAATATCAGACCGATGTGTCGATTGTACGTTATATAAGTACATAGTACTCCCCTCGGTCCTAAATAAACTTCACACTTTCCTTTTTGGGTAGGTCCAAAATAAACTTCACACTTCTTCTCCCTTCCTTATTTGACAAATTATCTACATCAAAACAGTGCAAAACAGTGTCAAACAGTGCCAAATAGTGTCACAACAGTGTACTCTACAGTAAAGTCAAATTTATTTCCTTAATTTGTGTGAAGTCAAAGTGTGAAGTTTATTTAGGACCGGATGGAGTATATTTTATCCACCTTATGTAGAACCGCAAGTTATATGGTACACCCGAGTGTACACATACACCCGGTATTTTTGTAGTTTCTTGCAACTTTAAGCCTTTTAATTCTCTTATGCTGCTCTTTGTCCGTTCCTTTTATTTCTTTTCCGGCCGCCCCCTTCCTTTTCTTTTCCAACCGCCATTTTCTTTGGTTTGTCTTGCTACTCTGCTAGTAGTTTTTCATTTTGTGCTTTATCTTTTTGATTTTTTTCATTACTTTTAGTTTTAGTTAGTTTATTTTCTTTTCTTTTATTCTTTTCGTTTTCCTCCTTTCTTTTTCTTTATATATTAATACCGAGCACATTAGAAATAAGCTTTACTTTAAACTCAAATAAATAAAGCGTCTACAAAGAATGAACATACACGAATTAGCTTTTGAATTTTTGAAAACTCATTTTGTAAGTTTTGTCCATTTAGTACCTTCGTTATGCTCATTTCAAAATGTTATATCAATGCATATTTCAAAAGTCTCATATTTCAAAATGTTATATCAATGCACGATTATAATACTCAATAACGGAGCTTCGATGCCCACTGAAAATGTTTTGATGCTCAACGAACAAAACTTACAATTTTTATATCAATGCTCATCTTGTAAGTTATACTTCGTATATGCTCATTTTTATAGGTCTGATGCTTATTAAAAATTCATTAATGCTCATTTAACAGAAATTGTGAATTCCATCAATGCACATTTTGTAAGTTACGTATGCTCATTTGGTACTCATCCTAGGATCATTTTCTAAATGTCATATCAATGTATTTTTTGAAAGTACTATTTTACATTAGATTCACATATTGAAATTCATATGAGTTGATTTTAAATATAATTTAACAAGTTTTTATAAAAGAAAAAATAACAAAAAGAAATTGAATTAGAAGTTATGAAGCAGAGATCACGATTCTGAATATTAGACTTCTAATACTCAATATAATATGTCTGATGTTCATTAAAATTTCATTAGTGCTCATTCACCAGAAATCGTGATTTTCATCTCAATAGTAGAAGTTTGATGCTCAATTAAAATGTCGTGATATTCATATCAATGTGTACTTTGTAAGTTATGTATGCTCATTTTGTATTGATGTTGTGCTCGTTTTTGAATTGTTATATCAATGCATATTTCAAAAGTATCAAATTACATTAGACTCGCATATTGAAATTAATAGGAGTGTATTATAGATATAATTTAATAAGTTTTTATAAAAGAAAAAATTGGAAAAAGAAAAAAGAATTAGAAGATATGAAGCCGGGATCGTGATACTCATGGTTAGTCTCTTAAATACTCATTAAAATAGGTCTGATGCTCATTAAAAGTATAATATTGCTCATTTAGCGGAAGTCATGATTTTTCGTTTAAATTACAAAAATGACACCGATTTTTTTTTATCTGTATTAGTGATTGTGTTGGCTTTCTCACTTGGACCGAGTGTACTACATCCGGATGCATTGTATACGGGCCTATGTAGAACCTCTATTTTTTTTATCGCGTACAAAAACAACTCTGTAACAAAAAATGCAACTTATAACAAAAAAATGCAATTCGTGTGTCAACCTCTCGTGAATGGTTCTCCCCAATAAAGGCCAATAGTGAAGGAGCACTGGAAGAAGATGGCCATGTTGTTTATCATGCGGAGTTCCCAAATTATTTCGACCACCTTACCAATGTCACCTGGATATGCGGGGATAAGCTTTAGGGATCAACATTGCTCATCCAAAAACTGAGGCCGTAATTAATCCGAACGAAATACTTCGGTGTAAAAAATGCAGTTAAGGGAAAAAGAACCGACCATGATTGTTTTGCTTTACATGGAACCAGTCGGAGAGAAGAGCTAGTCGGAGATGGAGCTAGTCAATGAGTGTGACTATATCCAATGAGTCGGCAGATAGCGGAGCTAGTCAGAGATGGACTCTACAGAGACGCACTCGCACTCTACTCACAGCTCAACTATTCATCCCTTCGCAACGGATTCACCTTCCCCGCTCTTCTCAAAGCCTGCGTCAAGCTTGGAGACTTTCCTCAAGCCCAAATGCTCCATACCCACATTTTTAAGTCTGGGTTTCAATCCGATACCCATACCGCCACATCCCTCACCCACCTCTACACGAAAGCCAGGAACTTTGATTGCGCACTCAAGGTGTTTGAAGAAACTGCTCACCCAACCATCGATTGTATGAACGGCTTCCTTTCTGGGATTTCTCAAAACGGGCATCATCAAGAGTCCTTTAGGATGTTTGGTTTGCTCTACTCTTGGAATCTCCGACCTGATTCTGTCACCATAGCCGGGGTGCTGTCTGGCTGCGAGGATGCTAAGCTTGGCGCACAAATGCATAGCTGGGCTGTAAAGATAGGGGTTGAGATGTGTGTGTACGTTGCAACCTCTATTCTCACCATGTATTCCAATCTTGGTGATATAGTTTCAGCCACAAGGGTGTTTGGGTTGGTTGAGAACAAAAACGTGGTGTGCTACAATGCATATATGACTGGGTTATTGCATAATGGGGTGTATGGTGGTGTTTTGGCTGTGTTTAAGGACATGATTTCATCATCAGATGAAGGGACCAATTCTGTTACATTAGTTTCTGCTCTTTCGTCCTGTGCAGAACTCAATAATCTGAATGTCGGCCTGCAAATCCACGGGTCTGCTGTAAAAACTGAGACAAATTGTAGTACCAATAAAACCATGGTCTCCACTGCTTTAGTGGATATGTATTCCAAATGTGGTTCTTGGCAATGCGCATTTTCTGTGTTTGAAGAACTTCATATTACCAAAAGGAGTTTGATCACTTGGAATGCCATGATTGGAGGAATGATGCTCCATGGTCAAATCAAGAAGGCAATTGAACTTTTTGCACAGTTGGAGACTAACGGGCTAAAGCCTGATTCATCAACTTGGAACACAATGATAATTGGTTTTTCACGTCATGACAATGGCGATAATAAAGCATTTAAATTCTTCAGAAAAATGGTGTCTTCTGGTGTGAAGCCAAATGAGAAATCATTGACCAGTCTCTTGACAGTCTGTTCTGCACTGTGTCTTCTACACTCCGGGAAGCAAATCCATGGATATGCCATACGGACAGGTTGCATTAGCGACCCGTTTCTCGCAACGGGTGTGATCGATTTGTATATGAAATGTGGAAAAGTCTCTATGGGTGAAAGCATTTTTGAGGAGATTGAAAACAAGAACTATGATGCGACTCTATGGAATGTTATGATCTCTGGCTATGGAATAAATAACAAAAATGAAGCCGCTTTTGAAATGTTCGACCGAATGTTACAGGAGAAAGTAAACCCAAGCAGGGCAACTTTCAATTGCGTTTTATCTGTTTGCAGTCATTCCGGTCAAACGGTCAAAGGGTGGCAAATCCTTAAACTGATGACTGCTGATTTTGGGTTGACCCCGAGTCTCAAGCAACTTAACATACTGGTTGATCTTCTTGCTCGGTCTGGAAAAATGGATGACGCAAGAGAACTTCTTCAGAAAATGCCAAAGCCTTCTGCTCCGGTTGTTGCTTCGGTTCTCAGGGCTTCTGAGTGTTATTCAAATCCGAATCTCGGTGAAGAAATGGGTAAGAAGCTCTTAGAGTTGGAGCCGGAAAGTCCTATACCCTTGGTCGTCTTGTCCAACCTATATGCTAGTTTAGGGAAGTGGAATGAAGTTGAAACAATCAGACGGATAATAGATGAAAAAGGATTGAAGAAACTGGCTGGCTATAGCTTGATTGACATTGCCTAAACATACGAGATTCTAAAATGTACAGAATTGACTTGATCAACTGTCGGAAAGATCGATCTGTAGCCGTGCACCCAAAGTGGAAATATTGAAAGTTGGAGAGCAGAATTGATTTTTTTAACGGAAAAGGACAATGGTGCTATTACCTATGGGGCTCAAGTCAGGCTTAACAACTCTATGGTTTTGAATTTGGGCCTTGTGTCAGACCAGGCATCATATTCAAAGCCCAAAAGGATCAAAACTATCCATTTACTTGTCTTTCTGCCTCAGTCAATTGTAGTACAACAAGATTGGCTACCATGTGCTGTAGTACATATGTACAATATTGTACTTTTATGATAAGCCAAGTTGTGCATAGAGGAGTATCCTTATTGTTTGTACTAAAGTTGTAGACTTGTAGTACACAAAGTTAAGATAACCATTGCCTCTCTTGGAACCTATATAACAGATAGATGCACACATAACTTGAAGTAGTACTTGTGTAGCTGAGTTTCTGGTTGGTTTTGTATTAATGTGGAATGGTTCAACAGGGTCGGCATGAGAACACATGCATTTGAGAACTGGCCATTGAATTAATCAATGCCATCACATTTGCATCGCCTATCATGTGTTCTCAGGTCGCCCCTGTAGAACTATATTCTACTCTGCTATTTTGACCGCTTCACTCGTCCTAGACTTTCCGATCTCCCCACCATATATGACGGAGGATCCTGGCCATGCTATTTATACCAAATGCTTTACTATTAATGATTTTTTCCAATTGATTTTGCTGCAAGATAAGTATGTTCTAGCTATTTAGTGTCTATTGAATTGTGTATAATAATTACAAAGCATGCGATAAGATGAAATGCTGCGGAAACAATTAGAAAAATATTTTAAGAAGTCATTTATGCTATTTGATACGGAGTACTAAAATGAAAAAACGATGGTCTTATTTTTTAAGTTTTCTTTTAACTTCTGTAGTCGATGTTTAAGGATGTTTTTACTTGGACTGTAATTCCTCCCAGACCAGACTTGGATAATTATAAAAATACCAAGAAACCAGACCATCAAATTACAGTCCAAGTAAAAACATCCTAAAACTTCGTGCTGATTCACTAGCTGATTGTGCAAAAACTTTATTACTTTTTATTATAGCACTAGAATAATTCATTATTGACCTTGTTATCCTGTACGGAGTAAATGTTAATAATATTACAAATATCGTAAATGTCAAAATAGAAACTATAAATATAGTGGAAGGTAAAACATAAAAAATCATGGATGAAAGTAGTCAATTAAACATAAACAGTGGAATGTTTTTTTTACATAATTTTCATGTTAAAAATATGAAGTAAAATATAACCCACACAATTCATTCAACGTCCGATGTCAACTTAAAAAGTCAAGTCAAAACTTTTCCTTCTAGAACATTAGTGCAATTAGCCAAGGAATTCTCCTTCCTCCTTACATCACAGGAAAATTACCCTATTTTTATATTTCAAAATATGACTATCATTTTTTATTCTTTAAATGTGAGTAATAATTGTCATATTTTGACATTACCAGAATTTAAATATAACAATATGTTTTAAGCGTGACAGTAATTACTCTTATTTAGAAATAAAAATATGAAATACTTAAATGTTTTTACTCCTATTTCCCGAAATTTTCCAAGTCAACACCGTTGACTATAGTAAAACTCGAATTTATGGGGGGTTTTGGACAAGTAAAACCCGAAGTATTATTACACATTGCGTAATCGACCAACTATGCAGATGAGAGTTGGATAAGAAGACTATGCGATTTCTTCTTCGGTCCAAATATCCACAAGCTTTAAACTTAAAAATACGGAGTATAATTTTGAGGTTACATCTTCTTCGGTCCATTGTTCCCTCCCTCTGTCAACCCCATCCAAAGAAGAAAATGAATTTATATATGTCTTCAATGTGCTCCTCTTTCAATTTCCGAGCGCTGGTTTCTTTTCAACCCCATTGGAAGCGCGGTAACAACTTCCAGTACTGCGTATTACCCGACCTCAAGAAAAAGCGTGCTGGCTTCTCTTCCTTTAGCCATGAAGAAGATTCTCCTTCTCCCACAAAACAAAACCAGGTAATATTTGAAAGTGTCCATTTCCGTAAGTTAAGAAGAAGGTCTTTAATGGCATTCTTGAACAATGTGACTGGAAAGGACTGATCTTTGAGGACCTTTTTGAGTTCTTACAGATTGGTTATGATCCTTCAGCTGAGCTATTTGGAATTGAACCTGATTTGCAACCAAGGTATTTGATTGTTGGTCTTCCTTGATTGATAGTTATGAGTTCCTAAATGCGTTCTTGAGTTTAGTTTGGATGGCACATTTACCTGCATATTTTCAATTTGTATTATGGTATTGGACATACGCTGCTTCATACTCCGTATTTTTTTAAATTTTAAGAGAATGTATGTGATCAACTCATCAATCTTTAATCCGAAGGACAAAAAAACATTTCTTTTATGGTGTTGATGACTTAAGGTTTATTCAACTTCCATGAACATTACCATCACAAATATGATTACCCTTTATTCCAATGGAGGAAAAAGTGTTTCTATGTTGCTGAAGACTTCAAGGTTTATTTAAATGCAATAAGCATTACAGGCCCATTTCTTTTAGCTTCTAACGCAGTTGAGAATACTATTCAAGTATTCATACTCATTATAAGACATAAAGGAAGCTATCTGCATTTAGTTAGTTTTTAAAATGGCTCATCCACCATGCTAATGATATAACTTTATATTAGTCCTCTGGAAGGAATATTTTAGAATTACAAAAACTATAAGGAAAAGTTTATCTTGCTGAGTTTGTTCATCTTATCACTTTTTATTTTTTATTTTTTCAGAAGAGTTCCTTCAAAACTAAGATCATGGTTTGGCCCAAATGGGCAATACATCAGAGAGTTGCCATGCCCAAGCTGCAGAGGAAGGGGATATACTCCATGCACTGAATGTGGTTTAGAGAGATCTAGGCAGGACTGTTTACTATGCCATGGAAAGGTAGTGGTTTGTCTATTGTATATTCTATATGTAATCTTAAGAATTCTCTTCAAAATATTAAACAAAGATATCTCACTTCATCACAAATTAATGTTCCCAGACAGGGTTCTTACATTCAACTTGTCTCTCTTTTGATCTCTGATTTTATATAACATTTTTTGTCATATCTGAATTCCTTTTTGCGAATCAATAAAACTTCTACCGTACTTTTTCAATATGTAAATCCTAACTATTAAGACTTATATATGTGTGTGTATGTATATATAATCAAAGAAGAGTTAAATTTATAGTCTGTCAACCATCATACACTGAAATTGTGAATCTTGTAGGACGGAGGGAGTATATGTTTTACCTTTTGAGGATTTGGAATGGGCTAGATAATCAATTAAGTCCAATCTTTAGTGTGGTGTAAGTGTGTGACCCATGTTAATTATGACCCAATTAAGTAACCCATGCTCTATTGTGAGTGCTAGGTATCATAGGCGCTCATAAGCACCTATGCAGTTGGTTTCAGTGCTTTTGAGTTTTGAGCCTTATGGTAAATTTGTGGATCTCAATTCATCTCAGGGTATAACTACTTGTCATCAGTGCTTTGGGGATTGTGTTATTTGGGAAGAGTCTATTGATGAAAAACCATGGGAGAATGCTCAGTCTATGTAAGTTGTTCTTGCTCCAAATTCTAATATGATTTCATTCAAATGTATAGTTTCTCGCTTTAGCAATTTCAAGTATTGAAATTTTTTATAGGCTTAAATATGTTTTTGTCCCTGCAAATGTAATTTTTTAGGTCATGTAAAATGCTGATAGGAATCTGGTGAAGTCTATTCTAGAGAAATAAATAGACTAGTTAGTTAATAGTTGTTTTCTGTTATTAGCTATTAACTACTTACGGTTAAGGGATGGTTATAAATAGAATAAGTCTGGGAGAGGTGAGTAGGCTGTTTAGACTTTTGGTCTGGGACTGGGAAGTTGGAGTTTTATCTCCTTCTTTGGGACTGTGTACTCGGATTCTCCATTAATGAAGCTTTCAGTTTTCTTAGTTACCATTCTTCTGTTTGTTAGTTAACTTCTGTAATTGCGAAGTTCTCTATCATTGGTATCAGAGCCGTTGATCGCTGAGATACACACGCGTGAAAATGGAGGGACGACTCAATGAAGTGGAGAGGAATCAGCGTGAAATGCAAGCTAGGGTGGCGAATATAGCGGCTAATATGGCCGTGATGCAAGCGGCGATGCAAGCTAGCATCGCAGAATTGAAGGTCAGAATTTCGAGGAGTCATTCGCATCGATCAAGTACTTCGCACCATGGACGCGCAAGAAATTGCGATCATGGAGAGAGTGGTAACATCGCACGTCGAGCGGGGAACCCTAGAAATTGTTCGTCGCAGTCGCTCACCAGTTCGCATAAGGAGTCGCGAACTGTTTCTTCTGTTTCGCACTCACAAAAGGCTTCGCGCGGAAAAAAGGGGAATATCGCGGAAAAGAGGGAGCGCGGAAGTTCGCAGACTGAATCGCGACCTTCGTATCCTAGTTCGAAATCGCGACCTGCCTCTCCTACTTCGCATTCGCGAACGATTTCTCACCATTCGCAGAATTCTTTATCGCAGCCGAAATCGTGAACTGTTTCTTCTGGTTCGCAAGCGCAGACAGCTTCTTTTAGTTCGCAATCGTGAACTATTGCTTTCAGTTCGCAAGGGCTATCGCCAGCCGTTTCTCAACCTGCGCAAGAATTTTCCCAGTCGACAAAGAAGACCGAGATGGAGCCAAAGAAATCTGTAATCAAGAAAATGAATAAGAAGGATGAATTCGAGGAGCAAAGACAGATTATTCAATGGCCAGATTATGTTTCTCCTAATCTTACAGACTATGCGGATTTAGGATGTTTTTACTTTGACTATAATTTGCTGGTCTGGTCTGATCTGGTCTGGTTTGGTCTGTACTGGTCTGGTCTGGTCTGGTTTCTTTGTATTTTTATAACTATCCAAGTCTGGTCTGGTCTGGTCTGAACTGGTCTGGTTTGATATGGTCTGGTCTGGGACGAATTACAGTCCAAGTAAACACATCCTTAATTTCCAGCCAAGTTTATATTGTGGATCTGTTCCACCAACCCTGTTCATTGCGAACTAGAGTCCTAATTGCTTCTGAAACTGGATTAATTAAAATCAAGAACACTGCAGATGATAAAGCTGTTCTTGTCAAAAGTCAACAACCTGGACAACCAAAGGAAATGGTTTCAGAAAATTCATGCATTGGTAAAAAGATCTGATAAGTTTAACATTGACCAACACCTTGAAATACAAGGACCAGAATTGCAGCCATGGGTTGAGAGCAGGTTAGACTACATCAAACTTGACTTGCATGAATCATTTAAGGCACCTGAAAGTTATGTCATGTTGGGAGACATTTCTGCAAAGACAGCTCTATCCTTTCCTGATGTTTTTGATTTTTTCACAAGGCTAATAAAGATAATGACCCTTAAGAATTACCAGCAAGCTCTAGTCGAAGTTGTTGATACATCAAAATTTTCAAAAAAAATCTATGGTGATCCGGTCCATTCTATGGCAAGGTCTTCTGGAATGCCAGGAAATTACTGGGGACAGAACAATCCTGGTTTTCGTTGGACTTATGGCCCTTTGATAATTGTTACTTCTTTTGAATTTGCATTGGAGTTTTCTGATTTTCAGCTGATGGGTGCACTATACAAAGAAAAAAAGCCTAGGCTTAAATTTGACAACAGGGTGTACAATATAACGGAACAAATGCTACAATTGGAGATTGATGAAGTTTTAAATTCAGAAAGAGAAATACAGTATGACTCAAGTTCTCTTAAACCTTCTTCTGACATGAGTGTGGAAGGAGTTCTGTATGAGCTATTCAGTGTGAAGTTTCACTCAAGAGATAGGATGAAATCAGAGGCAAATGCTATGCTAAGGCTGGTCAAGAATTTTTCATCTAGAGGACTCGAAGTATGGGAACGTCTGATACCGCCTTCAGCGAAGTACTGGGAAGGGAGAGGCACCAGGAGGAAGCTGAATTCCAGGCTTGGTTCCTATCTTCCCACCTTGAGGACAAGGTGGATGTTTTAGGGGGGGGGCGGGGGTATTGATAAGAATCTGGTCAAGTATATTCTAGAGAAATAAATAGACTAGTTGGTTAATAGTTGTTTTCTGTTATTAGCTATTAACTACATACGGTTAAGCGATGGTTTTAAATAGAATAAGTGGAGAGGTGAGTAGGCTGTTTAGACTTTTGGTCTGGGACTGGGAAGTTGGAGTTTTATCTCCTTCTTTGGGACTGTGTACTCGGATTCTCCATTAATGAAGCTTTCAGTTTTCTTAGTTACCATTCTTCTATTTGTTAGTTAACTTCTGTAATTGCGAAGTTCTCTATCAAATGCTAAGAACTTTTGTTTGAACGAAAGACTTGGAAAATCTACACTAGAGCCACACCGTTTTTTTCTATCGGAGGTAGACTGAGTTGGACAAACAATGGAAAAAGGCCTAAATTTCAGGACAAATAAAAAATGTTGTTTTTGAAGGGATAAAAAATAAATTCAAGTCTTTTCAGTATTTCCAATGCTACATTTTCTTTTTGTATTAAGTGGCATATTTTTGTTTACTGAATTGTTCTCTCTCTCGTAGCCATGGACTAGAACATAACATATGTTCAGTTAAATAATGTATTATAATATAATTCTCTTTCTTCTTCAATGTCTTCCCAACCATATAAATGGATGAATAAGTTAATGGAATAAGTATTACCCTCCCATCCGAGATCCCCTTACCAAAACAAGGCCTTAATGTATATCATTGTCATTCACTTTGATTTTTCACATGAATGATAACAATGTATAGAAATGCTTAACATGAGAAACTGTGCATATTCTCTTTTATTTCTGGTTGTAAAAGATGAGATTATCAAGAATGGAGTTTCTTGTGTCTTTTTTGTTAGATCTCCAATTAAGGTGAAAGAGGACGATGAGGTGGATGAATTAGACATAAACCTAAGCGCAAAGAGGAAAACCAAACGCATTTACCAATCTCCAAGCCATGAAGTCAATTTGAAGATAAGCAGATCATTGAAAGTCAGTCAGTAAGCTTTTTTACTTTGATGAACTATAACATAGTCCTGCCTTTGATCACAATATTCTGCAATGGTGGATTTACTTTATCTTTACTTTTATAGCAAAATGGATGAGTATTTTTTTCTTTTTTCTTAAGTTTGAATAATTTTTAGTTTCAGAAAACAGTGTAGTGGTTAATTGGCATTTAATATATAATGCATGCTTAGATCCGCAAAAATTGAATGATTGCAGAGCCTGAATGCCAAAACTGGACTATTTAGTAAGAGGATGAAAATTATCCACGGTGATCCTTTACTTCATGCACAAAGAGTGGCTGCCATTAAGGTTCTATTATTCACCTCTAAATTATTCACCTCTAAACAAGCACAAGTAGTGTCCATGTTCATTATAAGGTTTTTTTAGTTTTTCTGTTTTTCGGTTTTTGTTTTTTAATTTTTAGAAAGAAGAAAATAAGTTTGTAAGTAATGCTCATTAGAAAAAGAACACTGTTCGTCCCTTGTAACGATTTTGGCCAGGAAGGCTTCACGTGAACCGTTGATCGCTCATATTGTTGACTGAAATAGGAATGTATGCATGATCAACAGTCACTGTCTTCTTCTTCTTTTTTATCATTACCCGACTCCCGAGTGCCGCAAAGGCTCCCACCTATGGTGGGATAAGGGGGCCGGATGTACGCAGCCTTACCCCTGTAATAAAGCACATAGAGATTGTTTCCAGATGACCCCCAGTGAAAATCGCGTCGAAAATTGCATGGACTGACCGCTGCTTCATAACAAAGAAGCGCACACAGTTTATTGAACCATCTTGCTTTATTCCATCATATTTCTAAGCCAAAAAATAGTGAGTTTTTGGCTCCATTGCAAATGATGGGAAGCATGATCAACAGTCGCTGTGTGATGAGAAATTATTTTCCATCATTTGCAATGGAACCAAAGACTCAATTTTTTTTGCTTGAGAATATGATGGAATAAAGCAAAATGACTCATTAAATTGTCTGCGCTTCTTTGTATGAAACAGTGGTCATCCTTTGCAATTTTCAACGCAATTTTCATTATGGGTCATCCGGAGACAACCTCTCCGTGTACAACTTTAGTACAGGGGTAAGAATGCGTACATTTGATCCCCCTTACCCCACCGTGGGTGGGAACCTTTGCGACACTAGGGTAATGATGTTGATGATGACACTAATGTATATCTATAGAAATTGTTTTGAACCTTTAAGTAGGTGTGAGACTGTTTGTTTATGCAGAGAGCCAGAAGAACAACTGCTTCTAGGAAACGTTCTTCAGAATCCATGAAAGAGTACTTTCGAGATCCAGAAAACCGTCGCAAGAGAAGTCTTATCATGAAATGTGTGTTTCTCACCCTTCTTGTTTTAGTGTCTGTATTATGATCGCAAGTTCGCAACTTCCTTTGTATGTTTACTTGACCTGTGAGGCTATCTTTGAAATGCATTTAAAGTTATAGGGCCAGAAATGGGAGGAAGAAACTTAAGAAAAATAAATTGTGTTTGATAAACATCACTCCTTTTTCCCAGCTTAAGGTTCTCACTTACTTCTTTTAAATGTCCCGGTTAAAGGATCCCATTTCTATCGTAGGAAATAATAGCACTCCTAAATGATAATTTAATAATCAAATATTAAAAATAATATTTCTATAACATTATAGTTATTATCAATGACTCATTATATTATGTACCCATCAAAACTATTTGAGCAAACAATTTCTCAAATATACTCGAAATACCTTATTTAACTATTGTCTAAATAACTGTGCCATTTTGCAATTGGGAAACTTAAGCGGGAACAAATGTGGTACTTCATAAGAAGGGGAGCCTTTGCTCACCGATTACGGTGTTGTTGTGTGATTGAGTGATCACAGGTTCATATCTGGGAGCTGTCTCTTGTCAAAATGACAAGAAAAGACTTGCTCCTTATACACCTTGTGATGAGACCCTTATCTGGACTCTCGCCTTGCGGGGATGCCAATATGCATCGTGTTGTCCTCTTTTTAGAAGGTTCTCATCCAGTATTCTCCCATCAACGTAAAGTCTTCTTAATATTTTACTTTATATATACACCTTTTATTAAATTTGAGTTTATCTTTTGCGACTTTATAAAACTTTGAGAAAAGTGTCAAATTGCCCCTCGTATTATGTACGGAAAGTCAATTCAGCCCCCGTACTTTACGTTTCATTAATTTCGTCCTCCTACTTTGTAATTTTCGTCAAAACCACCTATTTCGTCCTCCTACTTTGTATAAGAGAGAGAAAATAAAACGGAAGTTAAAGAGTGCCAACTCTCCAAGTCCCAAGCCTGTAGGATAATCCCAGCATACCTTTCTATTTTCCCCCTTCCCCATCATCATTATCATTTTCATTACCCCATTGCCGCAAAGGCTCCCCACTTTATAATATTCCTATCCTTTAAGGGCCGGCCCAAGTTCATACATTTCACGGCCCGTAACCCTCACTGGCACACTAACACAATTATTTCATATTATTAGTCCTATTGTCCGTGTCCCTATCACTTCTCCAATACCCGTAAGTCTGTAGCACCGTTGCCCGTGTGAACCAGTTCTATCACTTAGTTTATACAAGTATTAAGTAGAAGTATATAAGTAAAGTTACTTTTTCTTTCAGTGTTTTCTTCTAGCAGTATCCTAGTTTCTTTTACTAACATTTTCCAGGTTCCAAATGGACCCAAATTTTCATGCAGCTGTGAAATTCCACTGCAAAAACTGTGGGCGTGAAGGACATAGGAAATACTGCTGCCCAGACATTGAGGATCTAGACAGACGCTGCAGATGTCGTTTATGTGGGGAAAAGGGGCATAACAGGAGAACTTGCCCAGCAATTGTACTTAAGATAAAGGCAAGACGGAATCAACATTGCAGAATATGCAGACAAAAAGGTCATAACAGAAGAACGTGCCCTAGCAACACAGAAGCAACAACAAGTCGTGATGTTAATTCCATGGCTTCCACTCGGAAAACCCATGTTTGCAGATTGTGCTTTAGTGAAGGGCACAACCGTAGGACATGTGCTCAAAGAAGCAACAATGTACATAGGAAAAAGGTGATTAAGAATAATCATTGTAGGATATGTGGGCAAAAAGGGCATAATATAAGGACTTGTCCCCAAAACAACAAAGGAGCATCAGCAAGCAACAATACCTCTGTTTCTTTGTGATGCATGTGTTAAAGAAGAAATATGAGTGAGACAAGTTCTCAAAGAAAGAAACATTTCTATTAACATTAATTCTCACTTTTATTAGAGTATATACATCCGAAGTGTCCAAAGTTGTAGTGTGCTTTTGAAGCACAACATTTAGACAATTGACATAAACTGACTATAACTGCATAGGTTTCATCAAGCAATGCGGTTATTACTCCATAGCTATGATGCCTATGTTTGGAAAAACATTCATTTTTTCATTTTCATTTACCCCAGTGCCGCAAAGGCTCCCACCTACGGTGGGGTAAGGAGGGGTCGGATGTACGCAGTCTTACCCCTGTACTAAAGCACAGAGAGACTGTTTCCGGATGACCCATAGTAAAAATCCCGTCCAAAATTGCATGAACTGACTGCTGCTTCATGACAAAGAAGCGCAAACAGTTTAGTGAGCCATTTTGCTTTATTCCATCATAATCTCAAGCCAAAAAATAATGAATCTTTGGCTCCATTGCAAATGATGAAAATATGTTTGGAAAAACATGATGATCAATAAACTAGTTCACAACTGAAACATCAGCTGATTAGGTAATTTCTAATGTTATGTTGGATATGTTACAAGGTTGTCAAAAGTGCTCGCCCCGGCGCTTAAGCGCACAAGGCGCAACAACCTACACCCCCAGCGCCCGAGAATAGGAGAAGCGCGCATACCAGGGTCAAGCGCAACCTAAGCGCAGGAAGTGCTGAAGCGCTATGAGGCGCACGCCTGGGTCGCCTGAGACGGAAAAGGCTAACATCCTTTTTTGGGTTTAAAACTTTGAAAAACAATTAGCCCATATCTTTAATAGCACTCAGCCCATGAAAACAATAGGGTAAAGAAAGTTAAACCTACGTAAAAGTACATGTAAAACTACGTAAAACCCATGTAAAACTTGCGCAAGAGTCAAGACACTACAGCTATCATCGCTAGCCATTCTCGCTCTTCACTCTCCTAGCTTTCCTCACTCGACGCTGAATACTCATAGTAATCAGGTTTTTGATTTTTTAGTACTATGCTTTGTGAGTTTTTAGTATATTAGTATATGTGAATCCTAGCTTTTTTATGCATTTGGTTCAATATGATGTTAATTATAGAATAGTATATGTTTGTGTGTGTGTGGGGGGGGGGGGGGGGGGGGGGGGTGATTGAGTGGGAGTTGAGAGGGGCCGACTTCACCTGTGCAGCTGTGCCTCTGGATAGGTCACTGTGTGCATCGATATATAAATATTACCTCCGTCCCGGTGGACTTCGTCAAGTGCAAAGTAGGTGGGAAATAAGAATAGCAAAAATTTTGTAGTTGAGATTTGTGCCGAGGTGAGAGAAATCTGTCTGAGACTTAGTCTTTTAGATGTCGCTGTCCAAAAATTTCCTATTAGTTGCTTTAATAGGAAAGTGACAAAGTTTTTTGGGACAATCAAAAAAGGAAAATTGGCAAAGTTCAATGGGACAGAGGGAGTACTTTTCAAGGAGTAAATTATAAATACAAATTTGAGTTGTTTTTGCGACTTTATAAAACTATTAATGTTGTTTCTTAATATGTAAATTTGATTTACTAAAAATAATCCTATTATTCATAGATATTACTTAAATTTATAGTCAGTCATACATCAAAAATTGAAAAAGAAACATTTGCTTGGGACGAAGCCACGAAGGGGTATTTATTTCAAAGTACAAGTAGTTATTGCCATTTGAAATTAATACTAGCATTTTTTACAATAATATGTGATATTGATGTTGGGCAATGTTCTAATATCATACTACTAATATGATTTAAGAACAAGAATAATTTTCTCCATGAAAATTATATCGAAAATGTAGATGTAGTTCTACGGTTCAAGGAAACATGCATCCCTGATAAATATTGGATATATAAAATAAAATATTAAGAATAGTTTAAATTGACCGGATTAAGAATAACATTATTAGTTGGACGACAACCTTCAATCGGATCGGATAGTATATGTTAGTACCCAATTTTGATAGATTTTGATGATGTCACTATACTTAGCACGTGTACATTGTGTCTCAATATTGTTCGAGTGTTAGCATTCAAAATTATGTGACAAAATAAAATGTACAATTTTTTAGTCGAATTAAATATTACCGGAAAAGTTAAAATGTAATAAGGTAATTTTTATTTACCTTAATAGGATATTTAGATGTTACCGATATATATTATTTTAGCTCAAAGATTAATTGTATGTCACATTTTAAAGAAAAGAAGCTCGGAAAATCAAATACATTGAATGTAAATGATTGAAGATAAAAAATAGATCGGCAATTAATACTACATTTGTACATGGGACCGGAGCATAGGACGCACACATGGGATTATTTTCTGAAGAAATGCTTCAGCGGCTGAGATACTCAAGACAGAGAAATCGTCCCAATAAATGCTCCAGCACAAGAAGACAAATGTACAATTCGTCCTTGCCAATTTTTCAACGTCAGAGATTAATTCATCCTAACCAACGGATGAGATTAATTCACAGGAGAAGCCTATAAATATAGGCTGAAACGAAAGTTTCAAACAAGCTTGAGCATCCTAAGTAGAGAAATACTTCACTGAGCACTCACGAGATATCTAGCAAAAGAGAAAGTGCAATTCTATACTCTACTCTTTGTTTAGACTCATGCTTTACTAAACTTCGTAGTATCAAGTGATAATTGCTAAATCCTAGAAGTTTAGTTCCTAGTTGGAGGTTAGAACTTTCTTGTAATCAAATCACAAATTGTTGTAAACACTTCGGAGAACAGTTGTTCGGATCCTACAGTGTGGTGAGATAGATAGAGTACCTTTTGATCCCCACTGGATCATTTGAGAAAAGTCTAAGGACTGAGTAACTTTGAGTGGTGTTATACTCATTGTGAAAAACCTTCGATCTAGGCCTACGTGTTGTAAAGGCTAGATTGGCACTAAGTGTATTGGGCTTAATACTTTAGTGAAATCCATCTGAAATAGGGTGGGACTGGACGTAGGGGGATTACACCACCTCTGAACCAGGATATACTGTGTGTTGATTAACATTCATTCAACAAAGCACACACCCAACACTTCTCACAAAAAGATTGGAGTTTGTCAGCAGCATCCTAAGCAGTAGTCTTAATTGACCCTACTGCTTATCTTACTGCTTAATTACTTGCTTTCTTTGAGACAAGCTTTTCACAAAAACCTTGTAAACATCTCTACTACAAGTGTGTCCTGTCAGATTTCTGAATTAACTAATCTTAAGTGTAGCAGTTGCCTCAGCAGTGCCTTGGTGACTACCCAACTGCTGAGCCCACTGCTCATATAAAAGTACTTCCTTGAAATCTCTCAAACTTCACCAGACCTTCACAACATTCCAAACAAGGAGTCTATTCAAAATTAGTTTCTGAAACTTAAACTGAAACTCAGCAGGTGCCTCAGCAGTTCCCTTACTATCACCCAACTGCCGAGACCACTGCTCCAGTAAGACTCCCACTCACTTACAGAAAAGCACATCTTCAGAAAGACCTCATCACCCTGATCAACACTATATAATCAATCTTCCCATACCTTCACTTTTACTTAAGCAGGTGCCTCAGCAGTTCCCTGGTTACTACCCAACTGCCGAGACAACTGCTCTCATTAAGGTTGATTATCAATCTATCTTGTTACATCATCAGAAAGACTCTTCTCACTCTAAGAAATATTCTAAGTGCACTTTCATCATACACTAAGTATTTCACTAGCAGTTGCCTCAGCAGTTCCCTGCTTTCTAGTCAACTGCCAAGCCAACTGCTCACCTTGCAAGCCTCAAATTTCATCCATCATAGAAAGTTGTTATACACTATTTATCTAAGAGGTTAAACACTTCCGTTGTGCATCTATAAATCTCCCAAAATATTATAGATCAACTCAATTAGAAGGGAAAAGTTTTTAAAGTGAAAAAACTTTAAAAGTCTATTCACCCCCCCCCCCCCCCTAGACTTTTACCTCTATCAGGAACCATCAAGTGGTATCAGAGAGGAGTGTTCCTAGAGTCATTCGCTGACTAATTTGAACTAAAGATCCAAAACCACTTCGCTTACTAAACACTTTCTAAATATGGACAGTGAGCTAGCAAAGAATCTTTTGTTCAACCTGAACAAATTTGATGATTGGAAGATAAGGATGAAGGCACATCTCAGTGCTTTACATGATGAATTGCTGGAAGTAATTACTGTTGGACCTATCAGAATAATGAAGGTCAGCACATCTAAAACTGATGACCAGGATGATGTGTACATTCCTAAACCCAAATTGGAATGGACAACTGAGGACAGGAAGAGGAATAATCTTGACAACATTGCCAAAGATATTCTCTTTAAATCTGTTGATGAATCCATATTTCCCAGGATCAGGAAATGTGAAACTGCAAAGGATGTGTGGGATGAGCTCACAAAGATTGGAGCAGGTGATGAATAAGAGAAAGATAATAAACTGATCATAGCCCTCAAGAGATGTGAGGACTTCAAGATGCTGCCAAATGAGTCTATTCATGAGATGGAATCCAGGTTCCTAAAAATCACAGCAGAGGTCTCAGACCTAGGGAAAGATCTATCCCAAAAGGAAATCTCCCTCAAGGTCTTGAGAGGCCTGCCCTCGAAGTGGGACATGAAGGTGACTGCTATGAGAGATAGCAGAGATCTAAAAACTTTGACGACTGACAAACTCTTCAGTGATCTCAAAGCTTATGAATTTGAAATGAAGGAAATCAAGGATGAAAAGGAAGAAGAATCCAAGACACTGCCCTTAGTGTTTGAGCCAAGCACTTCAAAATCCAGTGAAAAATCCCTCAACAATCTCCTCACTCATGAGCAGTTTGCTATGTTTGTGAGGAAGTTTAAAAGATTCATGAAGAAGGAGGGAACTGCTCCAAAGAAACCATACAATCTGCCACCTAGGAGACAAAGGAGACCTCAATCCAGCGAGAAAACTGTCCTATGCTACAACTGTAGACAGCCAGGACACTACAAAAATGAGTGCCCTCTGCCCTTAGCCCAAAAGTATCAAGGGCAGCAAGGGACTGGTCAAAAAGCTGATTACAAGAAGAACTTCAAAGGAAAGAGACAAGCCTTTGTAAGTGAAAAGAGGAAGGAGGAACCCCAAACCGATGAAGAGAGCAGCTCAAGTGATGAAAGCTCTTCATCTGAAAGCTCAGAAGAAGCACTTCTGTGCCTAGGATCCTGGCAGGTGGCT